GGGTTTGTGGTTCAGCAATCTTTGGGTAGTGATATCTTCTCCATTACAACTCCAAATCAAGAGTTTTTTGGACCTACGTGTAGCTTGAGATGGCATCTTTTGAGGGTGATAGCTTAAGAATGGTTGAAAAGTTCAAAGGTGACAACTTTCACCACTGGAAGGCCAAAATGGAGCTACTTTTGGCGTCATTGGATCTTTGGGAGATTGTATGTGAGGAGGAAGAGGCACCTGGGGTAGAGGCAAGTATCAAGGAGCATAAGGAGTTCAAAAGACGAGAAAAGAAGGCTTTTGGCATAATTGCCACCAATTTAGATGAGAGCAACTTTGCTCATGTCATTTCTTGCAAAGGGGCAGCAGAGGCATGGAAGACTCTTTGCAATGTCTATGAGAGTAGAAATCTCTCCAATGTACTATGGTCAAGGCAAAAATTCTTCACCGTGAAGATGGAAGAAGGTGAAGATCTCATGACTCATGTGAATAAGGTAAAAGCACTTGCAAACCAACTTGTTGTTATTGACAAGCCTTTACCTGAAGAAGATGTTGTGATGACATTGCTCTCAAGCCTTCCGGACTCCTATTCCTCCCTCATTGTGGCATTGGAGTCAATTTCAAGAAAAGATCTTACTTTGGACTATGTCACGGCAAGATTAGCCCATGAAGTGACCAAAAGAAAGCAAAAGGAGTCTATTGGAGAGCAATCAGCACTATTCACGAGACCAAGTAAGGCAAGTACTTCCATTCAACGTAATCTTCCCAAAACTTGTTATATTTGTGGAAAACCAGGGCATTTTGCTAGGAATTGTTTCAAAGCAAAGAGAAGAGAAAGAGAGAATGCCAATAATGCTTTTCATGACCATGGAGGTGATGACTTTGCATTCATGGCAAAACAAACTTCTTCCATGCTTGATATGAGCAAATGGATCGTGGATTCTGGATGTATCAAACACATAACTCCATACAAGTGTTCATTTAACACTTATCAACCAATTCCAGCAACTAAGGTTTGGTTAGGTGATAATGGTATGGTACAAGCCATTGGAATGGGCACCATTGTAGTGGAAGTAGTGGTCAAGGGCATAAGCAAGAGGATCACACTCAAGGATGTGTTGCATGTGCCAAAGATGAAGAAGAACCTCCTTTCGGTGAGTAAACTTGTAAGTCATGGGTGCAAAGTGCAATTCAATATGAATGGATGTTTTGTGAGAACCATGGAAGGCAAAGAAGTAGCAAAAGGGATTAGAGATGGCAATCTCTATATTATCAATTGCAAGCGCATCAATAGAGTAGAGGTTGCTGTTTTTGCTGAATTTCCATCAAATGAAGATAAGGTGGGCATTTGGCATCAAAGACTTGGACATTTGAATGCCAAAAGCATGAAGGAGCTTCAATCGATGGTAAGTGGCTTAGACCTTGGCCATTCTACTATGAATCTATCTTGTGAAGGTTGCATTCAAGGCAAACAACATAGGACACCATTTCCTAGTGGAATTGCAACAAGAGCAAATCAATTGCTGGAGCTTGTGCATTCGGATGTTTGTGGACCCATGGAAACACCATCTATGAGTGGAGCAAGATATTTTGTCACATTTATTGATGACTTTTCAAGGAAGGTATGGATTTATATCATCAAGGCCAAAAGTGAGTGTTTTGCTAAGTTTAAAGAGTGGAAAGCACTTGTGGAGAAGCAATGTGAGCACAAGATTAAGGTGCTCAAATCGGACAATGGAGGTGAGTATTTGTCCAAAGACTTTGATGAGTTATTGAAGCATGAAGGCATTGCAAGACAAACCTCCACTCCCTATACCCCACAACAAAATGGAGTTGCTGAAAGAGCAAATTGCACCATTGTGGAGATGGCAAGGAGTATGATTCATGCTCAAAAGCTTAGATATGAGTATTGGGTGGAAGCTGTGGTAAATGCCGTATATACAAGAAATAGGTGTCCCACAAGTGCACTTGAAGGAATGAATCCCGAAGAAGCTTGGACTGGTAAGAAACCTTGTTTATCTCATATGAGGATTTTTGGATGCATTGCATATGCTAAAGTTCCAGATAGTATGAGAGACAAACTTGATGCAAAGGGCACAAGATGTGCATTCCTTGGATATTGTGAAGGCACCAAGGCATATAGGCTCATGGATTTAGACACCAAAAAGATCATCAAAAGTCGTGATGTAGAGTTCTTGGAGTATAAGAGTGCAAGTGAAAAGTGGGAGATGTGTCCAAGTGGGAGTAGTGGTGTGTTTGTGGACACATCTTCAATTTCAGCAAACAAAGAAGAAGATGAAGAAGAGCATTGTCAAAGTGAAGATAGAAATGAAGATATCATTGAAGAAGAGCCCAACTCTATAAAGACTTCAATTCCAGCAAGATACAACAAAGACAATGAAGAGAATGAAGATGAAGAATACCAACCAAGGAGTGAGAGAAGGAACTCCATGAGCCATACAAGGCAGCAAGAGGTGCATGAAGGCTCATCTTCTTTGCATGAAAGAAGATATCCAACACGTGATAGAAGACCACAAGATGAATGGTGGAAGAATCACATCTTTCCACAAGTAAGTGAAGACCATGCCAATGTTGCTCTTCTTGATGATCCATTGACTTTGTGTGATGCAATGAGGTGTGGTAATGCAATGAAGTGGGAGAGTGCCATGCAAGAAGAGTACAAATCTCTTATGGACAATGCAACATGGGAGTTGACTACACTTCCACCAAATCGTTCAGCAATTGGATGTAAGTGGGTGTTTAGAACCAAAAGAGATGCTATGGGCAATATTGTGAGGTACAAGGCAAGATTGGTTGCCAAAGGCTACTCACAAGTTGCTGGAGTGGACTTTAATGAGACATTTGCACCCGTGGCCAAGTTCACCACCATTAGAACCATTGTAGCAATTGGAACAGCAATGGACCTTGAGATGCACCAAATGGACGTCAAGACAGCATTCTTGAATGGAAAATTGGAAGAAGACATCTACATGGAGCAACCCCAAGGATTCATTGAACAAGACAAACACAACCTTGTTTGCAAGTTGAAGAAGTCATTGTATGGACTCAAACAATCACCAAGAGCATGGTACCAACGTATTGACTCATTCTTTGTGAATGAAGGTTTTGTAAGGAGTGAAGCTGACCATTCTTTGTATGTGTTGCAAGCCAAAGACTTCTTGCTGGTTGTGATTCTCTATGTAGATGATTTAATCATCTTAAGCAACACAATGGTAAGATTGGATTGGTTGAAGAAGAAATTAGAGAGAGAATTTGAGATGAGTGATTTGGGAGAGCTCCACTATTGTTTGGGTGTGGAATTCACAAGAAATAGAGTGTCAAAGACCATCACATTGAGCCAAAGCAAGTACATTGAAGAAATGTTGAAACGATTCAACATGGGAGATTGTAACCCCATTGGAACCCCTTTGGAGGCCAACTTGAAGTTGTTGAAGCTCACGGATGAAGAATATGCTGAAGTGGAGCATCAAATGCAAGGCATACCATACAAGGCAGCAGTAGGCTCACTCATATATGCAATGGTGGGCACAAGGATGGATCTTGCATTTGCAGTAAGTGTGGTAAGCCAACACATGGCAAAACCAGGTCCTATGCATTGGGCAACCATCAAGAGAATCATGAGGTACTTAAAAGGCTCTTTGAACCTCAAATTATGTCTTGGAGGAGATAGTATTGCATTACATGGATATTGTGATGCGGATTGGGCTGGAGATGCAAATGATAGAAGGTCAACAACGAGCTATGTGTTCTTTGTTGGAGTGGGAGCCATATCTTGGAATTGTAAGAGACAACCAACCATTGCAAGGTCCACAATGGAGGCGGAGTACATGGCAGCAAGTCATGGAGCAATGGAGGCAATTTGGTTGAGGTTGTTATTGGAAGATATTGGACTTGTGCAAAAAGAGGCCATTCCATTGAGGTGAGACAATCAAGGATGTCTTGATTTTGCAAAGAATCCAAAGGGTCATGCAAGAACTAAGTACATTGATATTCAGCATCATTTCATAAGAGAGAAGATAGAGATGGAGGTTATTGATATGATGTATTGTGAAACCAAAGACATGTTGGCTGATTTGTTGACAAAAGCCTTAGTTAGAGAAAGACACAACAAGTTGAATAAGGCATTAGGATTGATAGGTAATTGACCAATAGCAAAGTGGGAGTGTTGAGAAAAGAACTCTTTAAGTAATTGCTAAAGGTCAATAGAGTACAAGTGTTGTTAGGAATATTCCATAAGGTTAGGTGCTGGTCTATAGTACATTAGAGTACAAAGGGAGGGCTGGTCCTAGAAGATATCCCATATGGGTTGTAGTACTTGGTACCTTGGTACTAGTATATAAGGAAAGTGTTGGCATGGGAAGAGTTATCTCATACCACATTCTATTTGTGAAGTGCAACCTTGCTGGTCCTAACTTGCTTGTGTGGAGTTTGCTTTCTATGTTTCAATAAATACATTGGTGCCATGTGGTGTATTTATCAACATTGCCTCCAACACATTGGAGATATTTATTATTGTTGTAAGTATAGTAGTGCATGCATAATTTAGATAGATTTTAAACTACACAATATGGTATACACATAATATACTGATGCACAACAATTAATGTAAGCATAGCAAACTATTACAATTATAAATTATTGAATAATATTTTTAATTAAGTAATAGACAAATAATTATACAACTATTATATTCAATTGAAAAATCTAAAATTATAATATTATTACAATTTAACATATTATTATTTATTTATAGACTATTAAAAAAAATTGATTAAAAATTGTATTTTTAGTAGTAAGCTAGCACAATGCAATTTGTACTCCTGAACCCAATACAATTTTTAATACAATCTAGAAATTGGCTAAAATAACAAGGGCAAAGAATTGTATACATAGTTAACTACATACATCATGGAATTGGCTAAAATGACTACGTAATATTTAGGGCACAACAAACTGTATATGTCAAAAAGAAATTGCTGAAGAGATCGAGATTCAGAATTGTATCAAAATATAAATTGATTATCAGAAGGAACTTTAACATATTGGAGTCCACATGGCCTTATATCACAGGGATAAATTTGATTCTAAAATATAACTCTTACTCTTGTTCATCATGCCTGGACGAATAGATGCCCACTGACTGCTTGATTTCTGTACTGAACCACCTCCCGACTATTTACCTCTATTCCAAACTCGATAGTGTCACAAGCTTTGCCAAAAACGCCTTTTAAGGGACAGTACTACTAAATTGTTCCTGTATATTCCCCTAAGAAAAAAAGAAAAAAAGAACATACTCTATTAAAAAATCAACCTTGCAAGTAAGAGATTTGCGGCTATATCCCAATATCCGCGCAATTAGATTACTCACTGTATGACGATTCAAGTGTTCGCAGGATGATTATTACCAGCGATCTTTCAGGTTAGTAGGATATACCTGTTGCCACAACGACAAAAAATGCCGAGTTGCCAATCAGCTTCCTTTGTAATTGAATGAGGGGGACTAATTCGAAAGTTTCCTGGATGGACAAATATCGCAAGCCCAACCTGTTAATTATTGACGTGTCAATAAGTCAAGATCGATTCATCTGAGATGAATGCCTCCAGAGAAGCCAATCTTGAAGAACAGGAATCCCCGTGATTATGCTGGAGCAGTCTGCAAATGTTTGCATGGAGCATCTCCAGTCGAAAGACTCCAAATCCCTTGGTCTGCGATATCAATTTTTCTTTCACAGCATCGATTCTCGGCTTGAGGGACTTGAGTACCTCTTCATCCTTCTCATGTGAATCTTCACAGCCATCTTCGCCCTCATTTGAGGGTTCATAAGACATTTTTCGCTGCTCCTCGCAAGGTTTTTGTCTATGATTGTTTGTCTCCAAAGATCGTTCATGCAAATTGAGGTTGCCATTTCCTTGCTGTTCATCAGTGGTCTCAGACCTTACACCATGACAGGTTTCTGGGGCTGGTGAGGACTGTCTATCCACAAGCATCTCTTCGGCTTCAGTGCGCACCTCCACTGATGGCTCCAGGTTAAGAGTCCCCTCTGAGCAATTCCCATTTGTCCCTTCACCTATTGAGAAGTCTATCATAGAAAATTAAGAGCTAGTGTACACACAGGAACACAACCACAACAAGTACACTACAGCAGGTATGTTGCACACGTAAGGATCACCAACACTGATCTTACCAGGGAAGAGCCCCTCGCTGCTTCTCCGTGTCCGGCGGGCACCTCCGTCAGAATTCTTCAAAGCATCAACCTCCGGCTGGAATCCTCGCAGTCTAGCGCTAACTCGCACAGTTGCAGGAGCAGCTGCCGGAACTAGCACGCCAGAGGGCACTCCAGGAAGCTTTGTAGGCCCTCCACGAGCAGCAATTTCATCACAAATTTTCACTAATGCAGGATCAATTGTGGACACCATCCCCAGCACCTGTTTTAGTAAGAAGCAGATCATTAGTCTTACAACTGGGCATAGAAGTACGTCAACCCAAAATTGCATAATGTAGAATTATTATTCCTTTAAGTGGAATTGTGGACATTTCCGAACTTGGGCAATCCAATAAGTACGTAAATAAGTCGAAGCCATTCCACATATTATCCTCTGTATTGAACAAATAGCACCCAAAATTGACACTCATGGAATGGTGCAGAATAACATAGCCAATTCGTGGATAGCAGGATCGCTTCATACCGCATCACGTAACGCACATGCTTTACTGACAATTCGACCTCCTTGATAATCATCCCCATTATACTCCTGCGCAATGTCCAAGCTTCTAGTCAACAACTCAAGGACTAAAGACAACTGTAACAGTAAATTCCTCAGCACAACTACCCTTCTCATATTGAAGGCTGACTCAGTATGCTAGTTATAACACAACAAGCAATCCTAAGGGACTAAACCGAATCTAGAAAAAGATAACAATTGCAATCAAACTACAACGAAACAAAAAGCTCATACTTGAGCATTAGCTGGAATTAGATCGACATCAGCCAAAAAAGCTTTCTTAGTTAAGTAATGTCCACTATCAACACGTTGCAGCAGAGTGGCCACATCCATTGGATTGTGTACGATATTCCGATAGTCAGGAGCCTCGTCGTCCATGACTGGGTAGTGGAATATACTAAACCGTCTTTCACATAAAAGTCTGCATTGAAAATCAAGTACAACCCAACAGCGGACGAGAGAAATCAAAATTTAGAAATAAACGTGACCTACTTCAACTCACTATGCTAACTAAAATGAACGCAGTTGCCGACAAATTGCTTTCATACTGCAACAACGGTTTGTCAGAGAAAGCACGTATATAAAAGAACGATTCGTAAACAAATAGAGTGACAAGAAAAATTAGAAGAGTGAGGCTTGAACCTGTTACAAATATCACGAAAACACATCCGCAACCGCCTAAGATGGTTTTCCTCCATCTCGGCCCGCTCTCGTAATTCTGTCTCACTTGGCCCTTTAACAATCTTAGGTGCTTTCGGAAGATCATGAAGAATCTCCTCCTGCCTATTTCGGCTGTTTGCTCTTCTCCTTGGAACAGAAACTGCAGCATCAACGAGCTGTGCAAAGAATTTAGACCTTGCTTCTGTGCTGGGTAACTTCATTTCATAACTGCAACAAAATCAACAGAAGCATTAAAACATACGTTGGAAATGAGAACAAAGCTAGGATAAACTAAGGTACAAATATGAGCTGGTATTCTTGCTTATAGAGAATCAAAAAGTACGTAAGGCGATGAGTTTAAGCAAGTAGTAAAGATAATAAATTGTGGACTCTTCAAACAGAAAACCTCTCATTTTCCTCACCAGTTGTGACTAAACAAGGCACGTATGCACTCATCCAGATCCTTTCCACATGCTGAGGCCGTTCCGAGAAATAGGACTGGAAGATCAGAAGGCAAGTCATCTAAAAGCATCTTCAGCACTGCTCGCAGTTGATCATGAGCCTACGAAGGTCCAAGGAAGAATCGTCATTAAGTACCAATCAACCAGAGCATTGACTATTGACTCAAACCTCCTGTCTGTAAACATGCTGCTGACATCGCTCTAATATGCACCCCTGCCAATACCCTTAAATAGTTTTTGACAGGAGCTGCTCTAAGCAACCAGAATAGGGATCTATGGAATAATGGAATTTAAAGCAAAATGTACTTGAACACAAATCCACACTTAACTGAAAATACGAGAATCAGAAAGACAAGATCTGACTATATCCTGCACCCAACAACTGTAGGATATACAAGCTCCAAACAACGATGCTCAGCTGTATAGATATGCTATCTACAACAAAAGTCAAGCATATGAATAGTAACATAAAAATAACGCATGTAATTCAAGCTGGAATATACAAACATACCGTTTCCCACCAAAGATGAAGCTGAGGCAAGTAAAGTATTGAGGGCGTGTTTCTTCGAGCTTCTCCAAATATATGAACCAGTGCTTCTTCAGGGCTCTTTGCACTTGGATCAGACAGAAGTGAGGGCAACCCCAATGAATGAACTGGGAACCGCTCCAACTCATGCAACACCGCTGGTCCAACATGATCCTACACCCAGAGAGTCGATCGATCAATTAAGTATACCAGGTCTGAAACCGAATGATTCTCTAAGTTCAAGAGCTGCAAAGACAGTTGTAAGTGACCAATACAATACAGTCCAAAACGACCACAGTACACAAACCTTAGAGATTTGATGTGTTTTACAACACCAAAATCGGGTTAAAATATAGGCAAAATATCAGCATCTTCATAGCTTCAAAGGCGACCACAAACAAATTTTGCACAGAGGACATTGAAGTACAACACAAGTGAGCAAGCCACTTGGAATTAATGTGATGTACAAGTATGAACTATAAACTAAGAGCTTGCCAAATCTGAAGTGCTAGAGTACATGAGAATTTGTTGGAAAAAGCTGGGAACTCAAATGCTGCACAAAGTGACACCAAATACTGGGAAAGTTTCGGAAGGTACCAAGCCAGCTCCTTCACTTCCACAGAGAAGAAACTTGGGTCTATAAATCCGAGGAGCACTGCATCCCAATCCAAACAAACGAGCCAGTTGTTCTGGGCTTTCATCTTCCTCGCTATCTGACAGGTTACTGCTGGAGATGTCCCGGATCATCAGTGGAAAGATGTCCGATAATCTTCTCATAATTATTTGAAGATGTCCTTCTAGGCACGGAGAGATCACAGGTGAAAAAGGCCTTGCATACGTTACTGCCCCACGATGAGAAGCAGGTGTAATGGCAGATATGGCTTCCAAGAAATGGCGTCTTTCCACCTCTACAGACTCCACATCAATCACAAACTGCTCGTCGCTCCTGAAAAATTCAAGAATTATTTTTCGTCAAAATGGATATGCAGGTAATGACTTTTATCCAATGAAGAAAATTTCCACAAAGTCTTAAGAATTCAGAAAAACCACAGAGGATGCCAGAAGCCAAAAATGTCTTCTAATGAAAATTAAAACGAAAGCACAAGGTGTGACAAAATGGTGCGAGGACCAAGCATGTATCAAAGCAGGTATGGTAAGTGTTGCAAACAGAAAACATCTAAAAATAGCCATTAGTAGACATTTAGAGAGCAACAATGCAACTATCCACTAATAAAGATCTAGAACATACTTATAAACTTGAGGATATTTTCTCCGGAAGGCGCGAATAGCTGCCTCTGTACACAAAGCCTTCAAATCTGCTCCACAGTATCCAACACATGCAGCTGCAAGTTCTCTACGCAACTCTTCTGATGGAGGCTTTTGCCATTTTCTGGTATGAATGTCTAGAATCTCCACTCGAGCCTCAAATGTAGGGTGGTTCAAAATTAATTCTCTGTCGAACCGCCCTGGTCGCCGTAGTGCTCCATCTATAGCATCTATCCTGTTAGTTGCACCAATGACCACCACCTGCCCGCGGGAATCAAGGCCATCCATGAGAGCCAGCAGAGTTGACACAATCGAGTTGTGAATCTGCTCTTGTTTACTAGAACGTACAGGAGCCAAACCATCTATTTCATCAAAGAAGATGATTGATGGCTGGCATTTTTGCGCTTCCTCAAAAAGCATCCGTAGCTGTCTTTCAGCCTCTCCTACCCATCTGCAAGGGAAAAGTACGCAAACACCGACCGAACATAAGTTGCAGTAGCACAATAATCAGTAAAACGTACCCACGCTCTCTAACGCTCAGACGTGGAACAGGAGGTTGCAATGCGAAACATGAAGTTGAGTAGGATACATTACTTGGAAAGCACATCAGCTCCTTTCCGCATGTAGAAATTAACTTTCTGTCCTGCTCTGGATGCCGCACTTGCCATGGCCCGGGCGATAAGTGTCTTGCCTGTACCTGGTGGACCCGAAAGAAGAACTCCTCGAGGTGGAGTTATGTGATACTTGACAAAGAAATCTGGATACAATAACGGAAAGAAAACCATCTCCTTAAGTTGGTCAATGTAGTGTGCTAATCCTCCTATCTGTTCAAATCCAACTGTTTCGTCCACCTGCACTGGCTGAATATCTGCTCCTCCCTTCGAGCTTGGCCCGGCTGTTTGAGCACCTACTTCCCAACATTCAACGTAAAATAATACATTAGTTAGAAATGAAAGTGAACCATTGTGGCTGAAACCAACATTCCCTGACTACAACAGTTGATACAGCGAGGCACTTCTTTGTAGTATTGGAAACCACTTGTGAAAGTCATTACACAGGTAAACATCACAACATGTCAATACCTGGAGCAGTCGAAGCCCAATGGCTACCAGGTTGACTCCAACCACTAGCAGCCATGCTCAAATTACTCAGACCAGGTGCCTCAAGACCTGCAGGTAGCCACGGATGAGAAGAGCCTCGAACTAATCGCGACCAGGGAGCTGCACCTTGCTCCTGTTCATCCACAAGCAATGAGTCATCTGAATCATCAGCCCTCATCGAACGACGTCTTTTATGCACCCTGCTTCCTGACCGACGACCTTCCCGACCACGCTTTGAGCTGCCCCCTGCAATTTAAGGCCAGATCATCAGGAAACAATACCTGACTTAAGCTCGAGTACCCTATTCTCACTATTGGTGTACTGAGGACTCATGTGTACATTGTACACGAATATGATAACTCAGAGACGCATTGCCTAAAATGTATAAATGAACGAGTTAGATTAACTCGAAGTTAAACATAATCCAGGTTCAAAAGCCTACGAATTCCACATTCTCACTGCTGTAATGACAAAAACGAAAAATCGTTGAAAACTTGGTAAGCTGAGACGATCACTCAATGCTTTTAAATATGGTTTACAAGAATTAATGGATACTATGGACTTCGATAAAAAAAAATTAAAATTAAAAATATACAATGATGAAAAAGAATCACGAACTCATCACATAGTTAATAAGCACTTATAAGAACTGCTGTTGAGCATCCTTCTGGATCCAAACAATTGCGAAATTTGCGATTATTGACAATATACCGTGCCCACAGACCCTCGTATATTAATGGCCAGAAAATGAGATGACTGCCACTATTCTTGTTACAGCCTGAAAGGTTATGTCTGACACACCTCCATGAAACATTTTTCGGGGAGATGGTGCCCTTGTTGTCCTTTCTTCCTTTCGAGGAGAAAAGCGCTGCACACCAGTGCGGTTTCGCAAAGCATAGCGACGGCGACCTTCTCGCTCTTCGGCCTCTTCATCTTCTTCCCCCTCCTCCTCTTCCTCCTCTTCTTCCTCTTCTTCCTCCTCTTCCTGCTCCTCTTCTGGCTCCTCTTCCTCTTCTTCCTCTCCCTCATCTGCAACCAAAATGGTATAATAACTGTCAAAACTTGATACAAAAGCTAAAAGAAAAATCCACCACGTTTTTACAATCCTTGAGGTAGCCCACATCTAGGCATGGTACTGACTAACATGAAGAGGACGCCGACTTTAGCATGTTTCGGGAATCAGTCCCGGTATGTAGAAAACTCACTTCCTTCATGTTACTTGTCAGGAAAACGCTAAACATATACTAAATCTGAATGATACGGTCTCCAGTCCAACTTCAAATAATACATTGCTAAAATTTGGGGTTGATACCTTTCGCCCCCATCTCCCTGTCAGATGAGTTCCGATCATCATCTTCAAAATCTTGAGATGAAAGCTCTAGTCTTGAGGGCCTTATTCCTTGCCGCGGTCGCAATCCCTCTCTTCTAGGAGCAGCAGCAGCATCCATATTTTTCGGCTCTGCGGGCTCAGGACTACCCTCTTCCTCTACAATATGCTCTGCTTTGGTAGTGTGGATGGTAGTGTGGGACGAAGAATATCTATGTTTTGGCAACTGTAAATGAGCCATACCAATATGATCAAAATGTAGCAGACAGTGTTTGGAAGATTAAACGCATGAATGCTGCTCAGTTCAAGGAGCTCGCAAAGACGATTAAATCACTCCACTTGGGCGAACACCAGCATCTTCTAAAATAGATAAATGACTGGGTCAAGCACCAAACACCTCGCCACACATATAGGTGCTTCACTACTGAAGCAACTAAGATGCACACAGCACCCATCCTATTATCAAAAGTATGAAGAAAGGCGACAACGGATTAGCACGAACGCTTGAAAATCGATAAAACAGAAGATCGAAAAAAAGTCCTAAGCTGACAATGCGAAGATGATTTCATCACAATTGCTAATAGAGGGCTGAGGTACGCGACAACCGCTGATATGAGATAACGTCAAGTACAAAAGGTGTACTTAAATGAATTCAAGGAAAGCTCTAAAACGAAGACACCATTCTCGAATAAGAGTGCAGACCGAGCAGCTTTGCAATTCCAATTCCAAACAAACTGAGTGGTTACAGATGAGTGATTGTGAAAGTAATTGTTGTAAATACCCGACTTGTTTGACTTCGATATACTTCATGTTCACTATTGTCAGAATCGTAGTCGACATGGACCAACACACGCCTTTTTCTTGTAGAGCGCCGAAGGTTACCAGCATCAGCAGCGTACTGCAACATCGAGCCATTTTAGGGTGAATCGTACTGTGGGAATAGTCTGTACTTCAATAAAATAAAATAAAAATAGACAGGAGTTGCTTTACTGTCCATCAGCGTATGGAGTTCGGCTGAGTGGTTAGGGGACTAGATGAGTGTTATCGTGAACCCTCACAGAAGCCCTAAACAAAAACTTAGCTCAACATGGGGCCAGCTACGATAGGTTGCTAGCAACTACAAAGGTGAGGGAAATTCTGTAGCCACTCTCGGGTACTCTGAAAGTATAAAAACGAAAACAGAATTAGAGCTTGTTCTAGAGCACCTTGAAAAGCCAGTGCCCGACCCTACAACTAGCGCCATGATCACGTATGTCATGACATCCATGCTCGCGATAGCAGATGGTTTCGGTTGGGAAAAATAAAACTTTACCAGCAATTGAGAGATCGAGACGACAACATTGAGAGAACAAACAAACCAGGGAGCTCAGATGCCACAACAAAGAATATCATGGACAGATTCGGACCTGATTGGGAACGTTATCAGATGGCATCGAGGGATTGGCTTCCGTCTCCAAGGCCTAACATGCGATCAATCCCAGAAGCAACAGTGAACAACGAGGAACATAGTGACTCCACGAAATCCACCCTGCCCTAAATTTCCCAATCAAGCAAGCTTCTAAAATGCAAAAAAAAAAAAGAGAGCGAGAGAGAGAGAGAGAGAGAGAGAGAGAGAGAACATAATGTTCATAAAGTAGCAAAACATGCAATGAAAAGGGAATTCGAAAAAGACAACCACTAGCCTCAGCGACAGAAAAACGAACAGAATCCAGGAGCATCGGGCTCTCGGAAGGAAAATCACAGAATTCGACCAAGAATAAGTCACATCACCTGCGGGGAGGAAGCAGATTGCAGCGGCAGATTGTGGTTGTTACTGTTATCGTTGTGATCGTTTCTGCGATTGCTATTCTTACTGTGGCCGATAATCCCAGTACTCTGACGCAAAGCATTGGCTATCCGCATATTTGCCAAGGAACTACGGCTCTTGCGTTTGGACTGTTTAGCATTGTGCAGAAACCGACGGTGTTTGGCAGAGGAGACGCGCCTTGCCGGCCCATGGCCACGCGATGCCTTCATAGAACCTCAGCCCTCGGTAAACCCTCCCCTTCCCTCGCTCCCTCACTCACTCTCACTCTCTCTCTCTCACACCAACTCCGTTAACACTTCGTCACACCACACCATGTCCAAGCCATCACCTCCCTCACTCACACTTGCGAGCATGGCACCTCGCACTTCACGTCCCACATCCTCTCAACACTGAAGACGCCACGATATCGACGACAAACTCGTCGTCTAGGGCTTCTCCAAGGCTCTTCGTCCAGGCCATGAAGGTGTTTCTTCCTCCATCACGGCCCTGCCAAGCCAGCTAACCCCTCCTCGCCTTCGTTATATTCAAAGCCCTTCCTCCTGTCTCCATTACAAGAGCTCCGAAGCAAAAGAGCTGCCCCTGTTCCTTTCTTGTACCCCTTCCTTCTCCCCCACTCCTCCACACGAGTTTGTTTCTTCTGCCTGTTTTTTTCTTTTGATTTGTGTTCCTTCGTTGGGCTTCTTCGGTGAGTGTTTGATTACGATTAGAGTGGTGATGGACCTGCTGCTAAATTGGTTGGCCCTGCCCCAGTCATCAACTACCCAATTTTCTTCCCCTTCCCGTGAAGCTCCTCGCCGCTCCCTCTCTCAAGCTTCTTCCTCTTCCTATTCTGCTTATCTCTCTCCCACTCTCACTCTGTATCTGTGTCTGTCTGTCCGTCTCCTCCCTGTCTCTCTCATGACGGCTACCACTTAGATTACTCCTACTACGACTGTTAGCTTTGGCCCTGCTACTGGTATATATAGCCTGCTGCCAGTTCTACTAGCTTTCTCAGTTCGTGTGACTACTGCTTGGCTTTGGATCTGCGAGTTGGTTCAATATTATTACAAAAATGGGACAAATGATACTGGATGGTTACATTACAAAGAATGTATTTCTTACGTCAAACAGACGACTGGTACGAAAAATATTTAGTTAAATGTTGTTCCATGTTCTTCATTATTAACTACGTCCCAAGTTGGTCATTATGAACTAATTTGAGCAACAAACAGCATCCTGACCTCATCTATCATCCACCAAATATATGCAATAATTCATCCATCCAGCGGGCTGCTATTCAACCCTCGTTTCCCAATCTCCCTCTCTCACTCCTGCCGTCGTTTAGGGCTTCATTTGTGGAGCGTTCGATCTTCTACTCGACGCTTTTTTGAGTAATTGCTCTCACTCATCGAAATCACCGAATTCTGCTTCAACGGTGTGTATCGGTGGGATTTTCTTGGCCATTCTCCTGCCACTTCTCACAGTCGATCGATGTCCTATTTATGCTGCGAGGTTGCTATGTTGCTGTATTCTGCATCTCCAAAATTCGAAGTCATTTTTTGAATGCTATAACAGCGATTCTGAGGATGTTGTGATTTTGGGATTTTGGAGCGAAATTGAAGTGTATAGAAGTGGAGAGAGCTAGCGTTTGAAGCGAGCAACTTCAAATTACTGTCCCGGTGGTAAACCACAACTAATTGATAACAGGCGGAGGTTTCTATTCGTGGTGAGTTTGGCTGTTCGGATCAGTCAAATTGATGCGATGCATTGGTTGAACTAGTCATATATCGGAGGAGGTGCGGGGGTTGAATTGGTATAGAGATCGGAGTATGTAAATTAACTAATTACTGGATGTGTTGCCAATTTTGATACGCGAGCACTTTTCTTTTTTCTTTTTTCTTTTATTTCTTTTTTTTAAAATTCTTTGTGTTTGAATTCGATGTATAGCAATGGGGGTGGACTTAGCCAGAAGCAGTGAAGAGAGTGACCGTGACCAATGGGGGACGGAGGTGGTACCTCATGTTATGCAACTTGTCAGTTCGTACTTGGGACAGCGCGATGTTTGCGCGTTGCTGTGCGTTAGCACCTCCATTCGCCACCTGCTTACCTCGCACGCCCCTTTGTGGAAGGTCTGATTTTAATTTTCCTTCAGCTACATTTTGCTGCTCTCCTGTCAATTGTTGCTCTAGCTTCTGATTCTGAACAAACGGATAGTCCATTTCAAAAGTTTTTTGGTGTGCAAGTGATGCAATAGTTTGGTTATATATTTACACACACACCTGTTCATGTAGTGATCTTCAAAATCTTTGTCGATTCTTGTGATCAACTCATGTTAGCTGTTGAAAGCCTTCTAGAGGCCATTGTATAAGTTAGTTTAGTTACTCTAATCCATTTCGTCTTCTATTGTTCTAGATTTTGGACTTACGGAACAGGAAGCATGCAGGTGAAACCTTAGTTGTTGTTTTGGCTCAGGTATTACTATCTTCACTTATTTTCCCCATGTTGCTATCGTATCCAATGATGCGGTTTTTCAGTGCATATTACAGTGGTTCGTGAGGAAGAAACTATTGAGTACAGGTTGAAACCTGGCATCTAAACTTGTCCCTGCATTAGAATACAATTGTAGGGGCAGATACGTCGAAAGTGCAAAGCCTTGTAGCTTTAAATATGAAGTTAGCTGGGAACAAGTCACGAATGTGTTCTTATTGTTATGTGCATGATGGAAGTGAAAGTATGTCTGTATTGTCCGGCTGCTTGAGATGTCGCAACCTGTGGAATGCAGAAGCGTTTCCGGAATGTGGAAGAAATTAATCTTGAGTTCGCACAGGATGTAGAAGACAAGCATTTGACAGCTATAGCCTTTAAGGTATGCGCACAGAAAAACCTCTATGAGAGGAATTATTCACATACAGTACTATTGATTGATTTAAGCCGTACCTTCTTCCTCCTGTAAGGGAGAGCGGTGAAAGAATTTTATTCTATCAATGTAAGTTTTCTAATGGAGACCTAGAGAAGCGCTATGTTAGGCTCTCAATGTGAGGATCGATATAGTTCTGCCAAGGGCTCTTATGAAACTTAGCTAAGATTGGTTCATTGGTTGTTGTTTCTGTAACTTCCCATAGGTTTTGTAAGGTTCACTCTGACGTTAAATGGACATTGTTGGATTCCTTGCAGAGTCTTCGACGAATAAATCTTAATGCGTGCCAGAAGGTCACCAATTCGGGCGTCATTTTCGTAGCTTCGGCTAATCCAAGTTTGACATCATTCTCGATATACTGGAATTTGAAGTATGATATCGTCATATTACTCTCTTCCGTTGGATGACATATACAGTTGATTAGTATGACATGTAAATTTGATTCGATGTCATGTTATTCGTTTCTTGAAACTCTTTTCTTCATGTTTGTCCACCATGTGCTAACAAAAATCGACATCAATATATGCTATGGTTGTTCAAATTGATTGAATTTGGGCGAGGTATGTTTCAGAGTGACTGACGCTGGCATTGAAGCAGTCGTGAGATCTTGCAAGGATCTCAGAAGTTTGAACATCAGCGGGTGTAAGGTTTGTTGTTTCTTATTAAGCCTTGAGTTTCATTCAGTCAATTATTCTTTGCTCAATTTCCCATAAGCGTGGTGGACCCTTGTAAACTGATTCTTGCGACTCAATCATGCAATATAGAAACGCGACATCCTCTAAGCTAATTTTCCAGTTATTTGCTGCAAATGCGTGCAGTTGAAACTTAAAATTCTGACCCTTGCATTCTATGTTGTGCATTTGTGTCTATATCTGGTTCTGCAGAGTCTTACAGATAGGAGCTTGCGAGCCGTTGCAAAGCATGGCCAGAGAATTCAAATTCTCAATCTCACTAGGTGGGGTAGCATTGCGATCTGACCGTGTCGCATTTGCTGTTTCGTACGCTGTCGAGTCTCAGTTTGTCACGTTGCTCACCTTTGCCGATCCATGTACACATCCTATCTTTGCGTAAATCATATTGTTCAGTTGTCTCTGCTGTCTAGCATGGCAGTGCTGGCTTTGTTGCACTTGTCATAGTTGTGTAGGCAATGTTTGAACCTCATACCGTTGTGGGTGCTACAGAGGCGTGAAACTTACAGACGAGGGGCTGGTGGAAGTTATCAATGCTTGCCGGGAAATTGTAGAACTATATCTTTATGCGAGTCCCAAGTATGAGCTAGACCTTATTCAAGACAGAATTGTGTTTGTAGTTCTTCGATGAGTAATCGTTTCTGTGTAATATGATTAGTTTTTTCTAGGTTTTTCTTAGCGTATCTTTTATTGTTCGGTTGGATTTTGTACTAAATTAGTGGCACAACCCAGATTGTGTTAGACCTAAATTTTGACGATGATTTATTTCTCTCGTTGATCACTCGTTGTTGTAACTTCATTATTGTGGGAGGGTGTGCAGTTTCACAGACACGTCTTTCATAACGTTAAGCAAGTTAAGCGAACTTCGCGTCCTTGATCTCTGTGGTGCTCATGTAAGCAGAGCGCACTCTAAAATTTTAGTTTGACTTCTTGTTCAGTTACGATAATATTTTCTGTTTTCTTGAGCTTTGATCCCATGTTGTTTCTAAAAGATGGTTACAAATTGTAGTTTTATCAACTGTATTATGTCTCATTGAAGGCATGGCATTGGGTGAACAGCTTTTATCAGATGATGGATTGTCGGCAATTAGTGAGTGCTCAAAATTAGAGACCCTGAATTTGACTTGGTATGTTCTTCCAACACTAATGACTGATTTAATAGGATGCAACGTCGACGGGTTTCTTCGTGGTTTACTATATTTCTCATGAGTTTGAGATACATCGATAATATTAAAGACTTCACATATTTGCATTGTCCTCAAACAGGTGCATCAATATCACAGACGTTGGACTCACGGCCCTTGCACAGCACTGTTCTCGTCTTCAGAGTTTAAGGTCAGCTATGTTGTTGTATTAGGCTTAATTGGAAACTCTTCACATTACTAAATGATGATGATTATTCACTTGTAAGTGTTGCAAGATCTCGTTAAGCTCAACAAATCCAGTTTCCGATGCCGATATGTTGTTTTTCCTTGGGATTCATTTCGCCTGTTAGAAAAATCTGTGTCTGATTGGAATTGATTTATGTGTTAACCAATTCTTGTTCTATGGTGGGCAGCTTGCATGGACTTCTTGGAGTATCTGACGAAGGCCTGGAAAGCCTTGCCGCATGCTGTGGAAGTTCCTTGATAGCCCTTGACGTCAATGGTTGCATAAATGTCAAGGTGAGATTCTTGGGTTGCCATGTACTGTGTTTCAAGCGATGGACATAAATTGCATGTGTTTCCAAGATCGTCCAAACTCTGAAGTGTCTTAGTTTGGTTTTAGAGTGTATTTCTAGTTATTTTATTGGCTATTCCGAAAAGTGTTTGCGAGTCTACCTGCTAGACTTTGGTTTTGGTTCTCCAATAGATAAGTTTTCTGAATGATGTCGGATCTTGTTCCGGTGCAGCGGCGTTCCAAGGAAGAACTGCGGAGGCTATTCCCCAACTTAAAAGTCTTTCTACTCCACACTTAAGAAAATATTACTTTACGTACAGAGGTCGAGCCCACCGATTTGTAGCCCAAAAAGGACAGGATAGTTCAAGTTTACAAGATCAAGGGTTTACTAGATCAAGAGCTATGTTAGTAGGCCTGTACGTGAGGAAAAGGGTCGGATTTAACTTGAGACTTGGGAGACGTCAAAGAACCTTTTACAAAGCTGGGATTGATAACCCAATCGAACTTAACATTTTAGCTGATGCTGAGACGAAATGTGATTTCTTGCATTCAATCTGTTGTGTACAATTTTTTCTGTAAGTCTTAATTTCATCGAGGGGCAATGTTCTGAAGGTGGTAGAAGTCAAGGTTCTTCTTGTTCCACTCTAAAATAGACAGAATTTTTAAGATGTTCAATTGGACATAAATCTGACGTACATTTCATAAGTTTACAAGAACCCCAAATGGTGTGTCTTCGAGGTGCGAAGCCAGGATAGGTTCAACTTCATTTGCGTTTAATGGGCATTACTATTTCCAGCATGGACCCAGTGTGATGGTTTGTTTGCCAACCTTAATGTTATCAAACATGTTTGTGTATGTTTATTTACATACATACTCCATTGGGATCTTTGTTTTGCTTTAGGATTAACTAGTTCTGATTAGTCGTAGTGATGTCATGAAGAACATGATTTGGACGGACATAGAAATACATACCTCTAAGTTAGCTTATTTACATATTTTTATTTTATTGAACATGAGTCTCTTATTCACAAGTAATGCTTTAAATTGTGTGTAATTTTATTTTATATTTTATTGTTATTTCATTAAATAATAATTTTTTTATTCATATATTAGTTTATCATTTTATAAGCATTATATTACTAATGAATATATGTTAATAGTGAACCCACACTAATTACTATTTAATTGAGTAAAATTACTATTGAGTAATTTTTATTTAATGGAAAGACTTTCATCGATTGTTTTTGTAATTTTTTTCTATTAATTTTTTTATTTGAAGCATAATTCTCTTTTGATATATATATATATATATTGAAACATTTAGTATTCCAATTTTCTTAAGAACATAATAAAGGTTTTTCATATTCTTAAGTATTTTTAAAATTAGAATTATAAAAAATTATAAAAATACTTTGTACTTCATACTTTGCTAAGAACTAAGTTGAAATGAAGAACTTTTAAAGCATATTTTAATAATAATAAAAATGTACATTAAAATATTATTGAGAAATTTGTGATGAATTGGCTAGGAATCTATTTGAGTGGAAATAAGTAGAAGGACTAATGTTCTATGGAGACCAATATTTTCTTTATAAGATTGTGCATCAATTGAGCATTTAATGTCTTGGCACTAGTTTTTAGTAGGACTACTCTATAAAAAAATCATGTTTTCATTTGAAATTTAGCTCAATGTTTGGAAGAATAATTATTTGATTTTTTTTTTAAATAAACAAATACATAAAATAGAAATATCCAAGAGTAAAAGAAATTCAAAATGGAAGGTGTTAAGAATGAATTTTTAAAAAAATATATAATTTATTGAAAGAAAAATATCAAATATATCCTTGAAATATGTTGAAATATGAAGAATATCCATTTACTCTTGATAATAGCAAAATACCCCTCACTTTTGTGATAATTGCAAAACTACCCTTGAGCATGATAAGATATAACTTACTTGCCATTTTAGGTGAATCTAAGGTCCAAACTACATGGCTTGCAAATTTTGGTGTAGGGCTTTTTTGCACAAGTTGGGCCCCCTACAAACCAGACCCTAGCTCTGGCATTGCCATCATTGAAACACTTCCAACAGATTTGTATGGTACAAGCTTGCTTACTCCAAGGCCTAGGATAGAGTGAATGGAGGCAACCAATTGCAACCGACTTCTTTTAGTTCATGTTTCATTTCTTGCTAAGAATGTATAGCTTTTTGAATTGTATCTTTAGCAGGTGGTTCAAGCTAGAAGCAAATGTAACCAAAACTAAATTGTTACTTAGAGACCATCTAAAGCTAACCAAATACTTGAAGCAAATAGAGAGAAATGTGTTATAGCAGAAGCACAAAAAAAAATGATCTTGTTCATGGATAGAGAACTACATGTGTACATGACTTTGAGCTGAAGAGGTGTTTAATTTTCTATATGAGAACAAGCTTTGAAAGATAATGTATACTTGAATCAAAAGAAATATATCCCAATTTTCTTTTTATTGATTATTATAGCATTTGAAATCACTCAACATAGAGTTTCCACACATGTATACTACATTTTTTTTTATGTTCAATATGAATACTTTTCAATGATGTGACAATTGATTACTTGGTAATACATAAAATTGATGCACAAAAATCTATGCAGCACATGATTTAGGCCTCGGATTCACCTAAAATGACAATAAAGTTATAACTTATTAAGCTCAAGGGTGGATTTGCAATTATCACAAAAATGAGGGATATATTTGCTATTATCAAGAATACAAGGATATTCTTAATATTTCAATATATTTCAAAGGTACATATGATATTTTTTTCTTTTTTGAATAATTGTCATTTTTTTAGAGTTGCAATATGGATAAATGTATAAATACATAAATACATATATTGTCTTTTGGATGAATGCATATACATACATACTATTATAATTAATATATGAAATATATTTGACCATGTATTTTTTTAGTTGTATAAAGAAATATGACATTGTATGGATTAAATAATTAAATTTTAATAATGGATATTTTATTATTTAAATAAAAAACTCAAAATATTATATAATTTATTCTTATTTTTGAAAGTAAAAACTAATGACTAATATCCTAAATAAAATATAATAAATTTAAAATAGTGATAGTTTTTATACTATCCACAATACTTGTTATTACATTTTTTTTTCACTTGGTAGTGCATGAATCTTTATTTTATTATCTCTAATTGACTTTTTAATCTCCACACATATTTTTTTTTTCTACTTTTTATACCTCTCATGTTATATTAGATGAAAAAGAACCTATAGAATCCAAGTGTTTGATATTTCTTCTTTCTACCAATCGTAGATTTTTTAATAATACTCCTTAAATTTCTAAATTTTATAGATCTACATTAAAAACAAAACCTAAGCATCTTGCAAAAATTTTAGCTGCAATTAGAAAGAGTAGTAAAAAAATTGTGGAAAAAAAAAATATTATACAAATTATATTACAAGACAAATACTAAGACAATTACCAAGACAATTATTCAATAAAACATAACTTTTAGAATTAAAAATTAGAATTGCAAGAAAAATAAACAAAAAAATGCAATCTTAAATTCTAATTACATTTAGAATACTTACCTAGTATAAGAGCTCAATATGACTCAATTAAATGGAAGAAAAACATATATTGATTTATATAGAATTCATATATGGTACATGCTTTAAAACTACACAAATTGTGATAATCTTATAGCATATATAAAACACATGTACATAGAAATTCATAATTTGTCTTCTAAATATTTTATAACTATGTGTTTCATGGAAGTCATAAAAATCTGATATACAAAATATTATGCATCTTTATTTGAATTATTATACCATTTTCTTTCTATTAGATTTTTTTATGTACTTATGCATATGCTGTACCTCATAATGAGCTTTTTCTATGTATATTCCCATATTTATACAACATATTTTACCATCGACAAAGTTCTGTACAAAACCATACATTGTAAAATGTAACAAACAATATATATTACAAGGTACAATGTAGGTTTTTTTGTCACATTGTTATCTCTCTTTTTTACATTGATTGCCACATGAAACAATTATATATGGACTTTGTATAATGAAAACCCTACACTATGATACTAAATATTGTTACAATGTTGTAATATCATATGTTTGCCATGCCTCTTGCTTTCTAAACCTGATGCTACTCAAAACACACCCATCAAAATTCTCCCGAAAAGAAAACATCATCTTACCACCCTTGCAAATTCTATATCTTATTGCCTTGAAAGCCCCTGGTGAGCCAGATGAATATCACATACAGAGGGTGTGTTGCTGCACGCTTTAGTTGCTATTATCGTCTATGGAAGATTTCTGCACAACCCATCTCCCATACTCTGTTTGCTGGACATCTACGTTTATGTGATCGCCTTCATTCTCTTCTTGATCGTATCAACAGACTCCTGCTGCATTAAGATTCAGTTTGAGGTTTTGGACAAGTTCACATTGAATGGTGTTAAAATGACAAGAGAATGTTCCAAATTTTGGAGTTTCACGAAGAAACTCTGCAGTCGTCGGACCTCTCTGGAAGATTGTTAAAAGAGCTGACGATGCAGAATGTCGACTACAACATTCCAAACGAACTAGAGCATTAAGTTACAAATATAAATAAGGTCATGCTGAGCGTTTAACATTTTTGTGAAACGACCACATAACAAATGTGCTTGAGGATTTTATAACTTGGTCTCATCTTCATCTGAATCCTTTACATAAATATTTGAACCAGGACCTCCTATCTATTGGTAGGGTGTGTATGGAGATGATTTCAAGCGTCATAGCAGCTAATTTTTTGATAATAGCGTATGCCAAAATTTCGCTTTTCCAGCATCCACATCTTCCAAGCCCAGGTATAAAATTTCCTCTAAAGAATTTGTTGTTTTTTGTATCCTGCAGGCAGGAAAATAAACAGCCAGCTTATGAAATAGATGTTTTTAAGTGAAAGAAAACATGGAAATGATTTCAATTAAATTTGCGAAAAACAGAGATGACTGGTATCCGTCCATGACAAAGCTACTGTACTTCAGAGTAATTTTATGACCCCCCCAAAAAATATTCTATAGAAATCACAACAAATAGACAGAGAAGTACCCCATGACGTTCAGGAATCTGAGGTTGAAAAGTAGTCTTATCACTATACAGACAGTTTTAGGTTATCCAACTGAACTACTGTGACGCCCCCTTTAAGAGGAACTAATTGCAAGCTTACCAACGTAGTTTACAGGAACTATGACATGAGCTTTCTGTACCAAGTGAATCTGATGGAGACATCAAGACGACAATTGCCGCTTAGCACTAGAGAGCCGACGACCTCTTTCTTTCTTTCCTTCTTTCTTCCGCAGCAAACACTCTCCACACCAACTGGAGAAATCACGCTGGTACTTCTTAAGCTCCCGAAATTCCGAGCTGCTCCAAAGATACATACCACACTATGTCAATATGACACACATGGATACCATACATACGTAAGAAAACGATGGGGAGGAAAATTTAATAAAAGAAAAGCACTGCAAGCTTAGTTTATTGTTTGGGAATAATCATGCTATTTGTTATGTGAAAAAATAGGAGGAAAAAAAAAAAAAAAAAAAAAAAAAAAGGTAGGCCAGTTTAAACAAGACTTTACCTGCGACACCATAGAATCAGGTTTGTCCGCTGACCCGAGGTAATGGCCTTTGCACCATGTCGATGACGACCAGCATGCAGAATAGCATCACCAGGTACATGAGAATATTCCAATACTTCCTGCAAAAATAAAATGTAACTTTGCTAATATTTAGCATAGATGCCCAAGTTACTCATTCACCTGACGGCTTTCTCAGCAAAGTGTAGCATATTTAAAAGCTTACGCTGTAGAAATCAAAATACTAACGACTTGCCCGCACGAGGAGAATTGACTGTGGGCCATGCTTCCTAGTACCTCGGAACGAGCTTCGCCGTTGACATGCTTGTCGCATCGAACACCACGGAAGAAAAGCTCGCCTCCATCAAACTTCTTGCCAAGGCAGACGTTCAGTGTCACTTCAGAGTCATCAACATGAAAACCTGTGTTATCCACCAAAATTGAAAAGAAAATACTCAGCCATCTTGATGAAGCCAAGTATAAGATATTTCGATGGGAAAAAAATTGTTCAAATCTCTTAAGATTGAGATCTAATATTGTTTGTGTGCGTGTGGACGTGTGCATGTGTGGGTGTGTGTAGAGAGAGATAGAGAGAGCGAGAGAAAGAGGTGCAAACTTCACTAGAAAGCGTATGTAACAGAATTATAAGGCTACTTATCTCCTTAGGATGATGTAAGACTGAGAAGTTAATGGTCTAAGCGATCTCACCAAGATCAAGATCACGATCCATTGCATACTCCACAACAAAACCATGGTGAGTGTCTAAAGACGATCCACCAACGTTGAGGAACAACACTGCCAATAATGTTATCATAGAATCAGTGCGGAAAAAATGAGGATACTCACGATAAGGAAAGGATCAGGAAGACACTTGAAAAGGCTGAAAAGTTTAAGGGATGTACCCGCAGCCATGGGTTTGAGATAGCGAAGCATTAAGTGGTTCAACATGACCTCCATTCCAATATCATCAAGGACTGCTCCATAGTTGTTCATGGTGTTTGGACGCATCACCTTTACTCTTGCTTCCTGTGCCCATCTCTCGAAGTGCTCTACCTGGACGGATCTCACCGACACAAGATTCATGCACATACTTCTTTCAGTGCTCGTTAAGGACTATTATATTAGAGCCAATGAGAAAAAATAAATTGTTCTTTTACGGTATCACTTCACAAGAACTTGGACCAATTATCCTCTTATGTGTTTTCCAATATCAAAAGAAAAAAAAAAAAAAAAAAAAAAAAAAAAAAAAAAAAAAACGTATATAACCATGGAAACAATCATGATACTAAGACAGCACTCTTACTGTGTGCAACTTCAAATGTTTGAAATACAAAATGTAACAGTCACATACCTCCTCCAACATTTTTGAACAGAAAGAAGGTTTCAACATGCTGAAAGTAAAAACCCCTGAAGAGTGTTCGGTCAGAATGCGACGAAGAGCAACCTCAGAGCCATCCTTCACCGCATCCAAGAAGGACTTCACAAAAAATCGCTCAGGATCGAGAGTATAGAGCTCATCATGCAACGGCTGCAAGATTTTTGTGTTGAACTTCAGCATATGCATGTGTGACCATAAACTTTGAGTACCAGCGTTGATGAGCAATAATCAACACAAGATTAGGGCATACCTGATAATTATGCTTTATCCTTTCCCTGTACTCCCGATGCTTCTGCATGCACATCCAAGCAGACATGAGCAGCGGTGACACCAAATAGACTGCATAGACCTTTTCATTAAGACGCGACCACGGCCACTTGTGCAGTATTTTTGAGAAATTATGATCATAAAATTGTTCACATTGACTTTGAAGTTTGAGCATAACAAAATTTTGTCCACCTGCTTATAACGCGAAATGATCCATATCAACGACCAGCGCGGAGGGAAAAAAAAAATTGCTATGATTCGAAAATTAGGGTTAAAGGAGACTTCAACTTTTAAACAGGGAACATTTACAGAACTTTTCCATCCAAAAACAGCTTGATTGACCTTTCTTTTAAGTGCTGGAGCTATTTGTGCACCGGATCTTTACCCAGGTCTTAAGGCTAACAAAAATTCAGAGGAAAGTATTCCAACTCGGATTCATTTCGCTTATCCCACTCAGTGCACTCAGTGATTTTTTATTTTTTTCTCATGATCCGCGCTGAGGTGTTCGACCAGCGTCCGGTCTAATCAGAAAACTCAAAACAGAATTCAGGGAGCGAAACCCTATAATAGAATTACCTTTGCGCGCTCTCCATTGGGGCGATACTTTGACAGTATCCTATCAAGCAATGCCAACTTCTTTTCACGCGGGGCGTTCAAGAAGCTGGACGGCAAATGCTGCTCCATGGTACTGTACAATGCGGCCGGATACTCCAAGTCCTCCAAATCCTCATAGTTTTCCGACTTGTGGTTCACGTTAGGAGTCCTCAAGAGCCGCGGTATGGACACTAAGCCATCTCTCCCTAATTCTTCCTCCCGGGGTCGCCTCGAAGGCTGGCCATTGTTGTTACTCGGAGGCTTCAACCTCTTCCTACTGCTCAACACTACGTCCCCTGTCGCCGGAGCTGGTTCTTTCATCCTCGAAACCTCTTAAATCCACCGCATATGAAACCTGAGAAAACTCCGAATCTCGAACCTCTGATCCAATCGAAAATTCACGCGCCCCCCTGCCTAATACAAGCACTAGCAGCTACAACACCCGCTCCATTGCAATGCAGCCATTCTCTAACCCCACACAACTCCCTCGAAATTTTATTCGGCATACGCGAAATTTCCTTAAGCAAAACTACCGCACTCCCACATTTTGCAAACTGCTAAGCGCTCAATTCCAACACATCGGGAGCGATACGAGGAAGCGTAGAAGAGAGACCACCGGGAGCAGCAGCAGGGGCATGTGAACTCCTCCCACGGACCCGCTCCGGCGCCAAAATTGAACAGCAACAACGACAACGGTGGAGAAGAAGAAGCGTGTAGTATCGAATGACGACGAGGGCGGAATCCTACCCTGAACATTCCCTGCCAATATTCATACCCTTCCCATACCCCTTGTATGTCCGGATACTTAACGTACCCTGATTGTACCCGCATCATATACCTGGATAGTATACCCGCGTTCTCGCGCACGCTGTGTATCAAATCGGCCTGCCCCAGTATCATGACCGACAACGGACGAAGTATTTGAGCAGGTTAATTTTGTATATTTGTTTAAGATTTTAAAGTTTAGGTTGGTTTTGACCGGTTTTTATGTTTTTTGACATTCTAGTATTTTTCTATTCATTATGGTTGGAAAGAACAGTTTTCATTTTATTTTTATTACAATTAGTATTAAATTAATTCAAACATGACTTTATTTCTGATTTGATGTTTGATGTTTGTAGTATTCTGAAAAAATATTTTCAATTTCATATTTTTCTGTTAATTCCGAACACTTAAAAAATATATACCGTGATTTGGATTGTCTTTTTATTCTGTATAGTTATTTATGTGTATTAAATAATAATAATAATAATAATAATAAATGACATTGTAACCTTTGTCCAATTTAGTTGATTTAAAACAAAACTATATATATATATATATATATATAAACATACTTCTGCTAAATTTTGAAATATCCAAAGTTAAAAGCTTGTTTGAAGCATTATTTAATATCTAATAACTAAATAGTTATACAACATTTAAAATGATTTGCAAACTATAAGAGAAATTGGGCTTAAGTAACAAGACAATTAGACAAAAGACAATTGTTGTCTTGTTTTTCCATATGCCACTCACAAAGGTAAAAGTTTTGAAGTGGTCTATTATACATATTGAAATTGGATGTAAATTTATTAATATTAGAAATTTCAATCTAAATTTTCCAATAATGACTTGCTTTAAAATGGCAAATAAATAAACTATTTAATTATGATTATTTGAATTTTCCATGATAAAAAATACCACTTCATTTTTGTACTAGAAGAATTTGTTTTGCTCTGAAACAATTAGCTAATATCTTATACCAACTTTAGTTTACAGAAATTATTTTACTCAAGCATGCAGCCAAAATAACTAGATTTTTCTATTTTTAATTTTTAAAGATTTAACATATTGATTTTTTTCTTTTAACAAAACAAAGAAACAGACAAAATATTTAATCATTTTAGTGGTAATCAAAACATTTTTTGAATAATGCTTTAACATATTATTTGCTGTAATACCATTATATGCAATTTCAGTTAATGTTTTAGAAAACATTAATTTTTATTTGAAATGTCAGGAAATAAAATTTTAAATTTAATAAACCTTATATATATATATATATATATATATATTACAAAATTAGTTACAAGTATGACTTATATCACTTAGTTGATTATAATATTTTTTTAGTATAGATTTTTTTTATAAATAAATTATATATAAAATATTATTAAAGAATAAAATTTTATATTTATTAAAGACCAACATTATTTTTCAGTGATAGTTGTTTTAAACATCTTTTATAGTAAGAGTTTTTTTGTTTTCTTTGTTTTTTTTGTTTTTTTTAGTTGATATTACACACGTATGTCATATTCATATAATTTATGTCTTTATGAAAATATTTTCAGCCAAATTTTGTTTCAAAAATAACTTCTTATTAATTTTTCAAAACCTTCATATATATATATATATATATATATATATATATTCCTTTTTCTGATCAATGGAAATATATATATAAAACAAAAGACTCTATAAAATGAAGATATTACTAATTTTCAAATAAAACTCATTCAAGCATACATGACAATTTGTTTTATTCTATTTTTTTTATTTTATTTTTGTTTCAACTTTTCCTTTTATACATTGTGCAACCATTTATTTAATGGTTGGACATAAACCTTCTAATTTTTCTTGCAATACAATGAAAGCAAGGTTGACACTATCATCCCTTTTGTTAACTCTCATGTTGAAGCATATGTGTATTGTGGGTTTTAATCTCCATACATTCTTAGCGTATTTGTTAAATCACACACACATACACACAAACATGTTACTAATTATCTCACTTCCTGCAATAAAACACCTAATCATGATTGAAGTGTGAAATCATGTCCACAACAGTTCCACACTCTCACCAAGTTCATCTTTTCATTATTTTAAAATCATTCTTCAAAACCCTACATAGTCATTATGTGTGCAGAAAAAGCAAATTACTTCTTCAACATCAGAGATTTAAAAAAAAAATGGTTTAAAAAACCTGATCACGCACAACATCCAACACAATTACAGAAATTCTAGCAGATTGTCACAGTCTTTATGTGGAGTCAAAGGCATTGGTTATGAGCAAACTGAGCTTCACTGCATGTGTGGGAAAAAACATGGATTTTGGGTGAACTTTTCAGTGGGTGAACTGTTGATGTTGCTGCGGTGGATACATTCTTCGTGTGGGAGGGAAACCCTAAAAGCATCGACAGATGGCGAAGGAGGCCGAAGCCGACTCAGCACCGAGCATCAACGAAGCGACGAACTTCGTCGAACATTCAAACATGGGCGTGGATGGTCTTATCATCGCTGCCTCTCCATGCTGCGCGAGCAAGTCATGCTAATCTCGGAGTGCTGCCTGCATGATTCTTGCGTCGATCTCCAGCTCACTTACTCACTCGCCCTCTCGAACCTTCTAAGATACCGCTCGGTTGAGCTTTTGGTTCAGGCTAAACAGCATCTAGACGCTTAAATTTGGTGGGTGAAGAAGAGTACGCGCGGATCGGTTTGATGATCGCTCGTTGTTTGTCAATCGTTGCTTAAGTCAAGGTGAGGTGGATGATCGCGAGCTTGCGGCTCTTGGATTGTTTGGCTTCGGACCCAGCTAGCGAGACCGATCGCAGTCGTTTTTATTTTTTCCGTTGTTCAACTTTTTGGGGGTGTGCAGTGTTTGGTTCCAGTCGTCGTCGGGGGTGTCTTGTGTGTGATATTGGTCGGGGTTGATTGTGTCGGAGAGAAGGGTGTTGGTGAAGGGATTGGATTCCTGCTTGTGAATCGCTTCTTTTTTCTGAGGTTTGCGCAGCTTGATGCAATACTTGTTCTCGCCTTTGGATCGCTTTTGTAATTGGGTTAGTGTTTTGGAGCCTCTTCGCTGGCTTAGCTGCCAATACTTACATTAACTAGATCCCTTCTCTATGAGACTCAAAAAGCTTCCCTAAAGCAATATCTTCATTAAACCTTCCTGTACACTGCATGCTATATATATATATATATATATATATATGTGTATTTGTATTTTACTCTCACTGCGTTGTTGAATCCTCTTTAGCTGATAAGCAGTGAAGCACCGAAATTAGGATCACCTTTAGCAATAGGTTGGATTCGAGAACATGTGGCGTTACGGAGTACGGGAATACTTTTAGTATCGTTTCTACCTTTTCAGGAGGACATTTGTGGAATATTTGTTTTTTTTTTTTTTTGTCTTTTTTTTGGTTTTTTGTTTTTTGTTTTTTGTTTTATCGAGCTTTCTTATCTGCAAACGTATCCTTTGAATCAATTGACTTACCTCGATCCAAGGCTGATCTATACCTTTTTTAATTTTGCTTTTAGTTTTTAATTTTTGCTGATGGTGGTTGTTAAAACAATCGAGGTTTGCCGAGAGAAACAATTTCTCTGAGCAGTGGCACTTCATACCAGTTAGCAAACAGGATCTAGAGATTGCAGTTTGAGTCGCAACCCAAATTGCCTGAATAGATGTCAACCTTGATCACCGCTCATACATCACGTTGCTGACCAAGGTTGTGATGGACATTCATCAACTTTCGGGATCGCAGACAGTGCTCTTATGAAAAAAATTCTTTGTTATCATAAAGTTTGCATTCTTAATGATGATGATGATAATAATGATGAGGCTCCAGACAAGAGTAATAACGAGGCATCCGAAGTTGGATCACTAGATCTAAGTCGAAAAGATTGTTACGACATGCAGGATGGTGAGAGACGATTCGCCAAGGTTCAGCAAGCCGGACCGTAGTGAGGATTCTGTCAGTCCTGAGGAGAAAGAAGAGCATGAACGCAAGGTGCGAGCCTTTTTGGAGGCAAATACGCCCAAACGAAAGCTGAAACCTGCGCGTAGTGATGCTGATGACTTGGCGTCTAATGGTCATGACGGAGGCGACGACACCACCCAATTCGACCCACCTGAGCGGGTGAAGTATCTTCAACTTGTCGCTAATGGTGTCCCTTTGGAAACAACGGGCTCTGGGGAAGTGATGGAAGACTTCACTGAAAGTGAGTACTACAAGCACATGACTTCCATTGACAAGGAGCATTACACGACTGGCAGCGGCTTCATCCAAGTTGAAAAAACTTCTCAAAGCTTCCACCTTTACATGAAGAATCCAAGATCTCGTAGCTTTCGGGAGCGCTACCGTTGTAACCCTGGACGATTAGATGATTGGGGTATCACATCCCCTACCAGTACGTCTGCATCCAATGCCAAGGAACCATAGTGGAACGATTCAGAGTAGTGAACATAACGTAGATATGTTGTGGCACAACATGAGACAGCTTGTTATTGGAACTTGTGTGCAACTGTAGTGGGTCGGTGCAGTGTAGCTCCTGCTGTGTAGTGTTGTTACCTACTCTCGAGGAGCTGAAAGCTTGAACTATGATCAGCTTTGAAATGACACAATTGAGCGTGCAGATGGACTACTCGAAGCTAGAATACGGTGGTAGTAAGTGTACAATTAATATATCTTCCTACTCCGAGTGCCTTATGGACTGAGAAGTGCGTTAACATACAGATCACATGACAGCGTTCACTGCACCCCTTGCAAGTTATTTTCGGACTTATCCTATCCCCACATTGGCAACGTTTTGAAGCTTTGTAAGATGCCCTCCACTTAAGGCTTTGATATACTGTCTAGAAAGTCATATAACCAAGGGATGATAGGGAATGTTTTTCTAAACAACTGCAAAAAAAATATTCGCCACATCTTACTGTCACAGCAACAGCCTGAGTTTTGTTAACAACATTCCTAGTTTGGACCAAAGTTGACCACATACACTACAGATAAAGGGCAATAGCGGAGAGTAACAATCAAACTCCTGGCTGCCGCAGGGTCCTTGAATTTGTGTTCCCTAAATACGGGTTTTCAATCACTCTTCGGATTTTGTTGTCTGGCTTGGTCCAAAAGGATTCAGGGGCTATTTGTTACGTAATGACTGTAGGATTCCTTTGTAACCGATACACAATCGGGTTTCGGATCGAGACCTGCTGCAAGCCTCTGAGCTCCCCTTTCGAGATTCTTGAGGTATCACTTGTAGACGTTCCTCATGGTAAGCGAGAATGTCTCGGGCGTTTGGTCCTCCACTGGTCCAATCTCGTACGAGCAATACTCTACCATAGTCCTCCCGTCACCTGTTCCCCGCAGCTGCAACACCTATTAAACAAACGATAAGTTTAGAGTTCAAGGTTCAAGGTTTCTTGAGCAGTCATTGATGTTCTATTGCAACATGTGTGCACTCCAAAAAACTTGATATGAATGTCAGATCGGCTGCTGATACCCTATAAACGCTGATTCAACTCGCACAAGCTGAACTATGTGTTCAGGAGGGTTGCCAACAGATCGCATCACATTAGACCTCGATCACCAATGATCAACCTAATCAATAAGAAGCATAAAATTAGAAGGGACAACATAACACAAAAACAAAAAAAAAAAAAAAAAAAACACATTATGGGAGACGGCGGTTTCAAGGAGAGCTAAAGTGGTTACCTGAGCTTCAACAATGTAATCTACAAGTCCGCCAAATAATTCATTCTCCTCAAGATTACAAGATAAGAAGTAATTCTCGTCGTCGATTGCCAGAAGGCGTTCATTGCCCTAGTAATTGGGGACGTTAGAAATTGATGCGATGTATCGTAAACATCCTGGTTTTCTATTCTCTCCCTCACGCAGCTCAAACTTGGAGTTTCCAGGAAACCATCCATGCCAGTTTACCCGGTCTGAAGCGAGCTCCCAAGCAGCCTCTACCGGGCAATCCAAGAGCATGCCTGTAATTCCGCCAGTCCACTTGCCTTCGGATGACACACATGAAGTGCTCGCTACTTCTGCGCCCGCCAAATGTCAGCGAATTCCGACCATACAAAGGACAAGCAACTGAAGCACCCGGCGCACATCTACAGTCAATCTACATGATTCAAACAAGTTCAAAACAACCACCAAACAACTGACACTCCATTCAAACTCCGTGATCTCAAAGTTTCCCAATTATCACAGAATGCTGCAGAGGAAGTCAGGCCCCACATTTCGAGTTGAAAATGGACGCCAACCTTCAGAAAAATTTGTAGAGCAGCCAGTAATTCTTAGAAAAAACATTAGATTTCAGCAGAGGTTCTTCTCGCACATCAATAACAAGATTTCGTGGGCAAGAGGAGAGGAGAACTAAGACTCAACCAAGCTATCTTCAAACCGTTGGATTCACATCCATTCTGTCGAACATCGCTAGCAAATATGACAGCGATTCCTCAAATTGGGCCTTAGTTTGCACAAGTTTGCACAAGCACAATGCGGCTAGGGATAGGCGTCTAACCTGCTAGCGCTGCATCCTGGTGGCTCCCGCTAAGACTACCGCCGGCATCAAGTGCCATTCTACTCCAGTATCTCACCAGACACGACGTCAAACAACGCTGAACAAGAAAATGGCATTTCTAGCTCGAACTTGCCTGTCATCCACAACCTCATAGCGGATCATGCAGAAGATTTCAACAACAATGAAAGTCTCTGCGATGTCCGGGAGGGTGAAATCTTGTGAGGTTCGATGAATCGCTGCACATGAACCTCACATGGGTTCCAAGACGCCGAGAGCTCGCCACCGCACCGATACTTTTTATGTGTTTTACCATTTTTCCTACAGAGGAGAAAAAAAGGGACCCCACAATGGAGGAGAGGCTCTAACTAACAGCAAGCTTCGCTCTACGACAATCTGGGCCTCTAGTTTCCGATTCAAACCCCACAGAACTCTGCTGCCTCATCTTTTCGTCAGATCGTTGCACAAGTGGTTCCAATTGAACAGTGCCTGTACCCTTAACTTCTAGCGCTTTAAACCGTCAATAATGGCCACTTCGAATCTTACTTGATTATTTGAACTCATGATCTCATTTAATTCTTTGATTGTTTTTTTATAACATGGGGCGTACAAGCTGCTTGTTACATGATGATATTTTAGTGCAATCGTCAACAGCTGGTTCTGTGTTGCCTCAAATATCAGCTCTGGATCACTGTCAGTTGGTATAAATCTAGATCTAAAGGAGGTGTAGTATATAAATTCCAGTATATTCGATAGCTACTCTACTACAAAAAGCCTAATATTGGGTACAAACTGTATCAAAGTTTTGTGCGATGGAAGTTTCTTTGGGTGGGGAATCTGATATTTTCTTCTGGGATTGTGACCAGTATAATCTCCCATGGTCAATGAAGATTTTGTCCAAATGGCACGTAAAATCTTTTCATTTGACCAAGCTTATTCTTACACGAGTTTGACAATATTTCTATTTTTACTTTCAAATCCATGGGATCCGTACACAACGTTCTATAATTATTTAGACATTCTGAATATATAAATGTGGATTGATGCTTTTAAAACTTGAGGAATCTTTTAAATCTTGATCTCCTTTATATGTGATTCATTTGAAGTCTACTGACCTATAAAATGCACCATTTTAGTTTCACTGTTTACGAACCTACACCAATTTTAAGGTTAATTTGTTGCTTAACCATAGATATTAGTATGTTATATACAGTTATATACAGTTATAACAAAAGAATCTAAAAATCAATAAAACAGTTTTTCTAGTCTTGTATACAAACAGGTTTAATATCTATACATTAATATATACAGTTATATACAGTTATATGTTAGTTTAATATCTATACATTATTTTTTTAATAGGTTTTGTACAAAAATAATTATTTTTATTCAAATATTTATGAATGTATTTTATAATGTGCTAATAACATGATAACTTTTTTACAGCCATATTAAACATAAAAAATAATTAGGTATTAAATTATATAGTTGGAAGAAATTTCTTTAATAATTTTACATATTGTGATTTTTATTTTTATTTTTATTAGAGATTAGTACAAAAGCTTAATTACAATCATTTAAGAATCAAAAACTATGTTAATTAAAGATATGAGAATTATATTTTAAAGATCTATAAAATATGAATTAATTTTTATTCTAATTTTTAATTATAAAATTCTTTTATTTTAATAAAAACACAATTGAAATCATTTATTACTTAATGTACCTATAGAATCTTTATAATTATACTTTTAAACATATGTTTAGTAATTTTTATTATTAAATTTGAAGAATACATTTAAATATGAATTATGCCCTCGAATAAAAGAAATAAATAGAAAAAAGAAATATATATATATATATATATGCATATTTTTTTTCTTATTATTTTGTATCTTTTTGATAAATTTATTATTATTTTTTTAATTATTTCTATTTAATTTTTTTAATCAATCGGTTGTAAAATTAATCAACTAAAAAAAGATTAATTAACTTGGTTTATTTATTATTCTACATCATTAAGTTGATCTAATTAGTAAGACTTTATAAAAAAACATCTATGGCATAATATTGGTTACTTTAGCAAGATATAAATATCAAAACCAAGTAATATATATCAAAGGAAGCAATAAGAACAAAAATATAAAGAATATAAATAAACAACTTAGATGTTTTTTAAAATAAGCTGACAAAAAGAAATAAGTAAATATTTATATTAAAGAAGAAACTAAAATGACTACTGCCAAAAAACAAGAAAAGTAGAAACTCTTGAAGTTAGACTATAAGCAAGAAAAGAATTGACAAGAGTGAAGATAACTTCATTCTTTCTTCTATATACTATTTAGTTACAAGATGTGTGGTGATGTTCTATAAGACCTTTGACACATGTCTAACTTTCAACAAACATATCTAATTTGCTTAAGAAGCTTCCTATATATGTGCTACGTGTCCAACTTGTTGGCCAAGTTTTCAACCTATTAATTACCTATAGACACGTTTAAAGACAAAGCCACATTTATGAAGCTTCTAAGAATTTTTTTCACAAGTTTATTTCTACCTATTTATGTTCTTTAGATAATTATTTGAATAAATATGTATACTTGAGAAATTATTTCTTTTCCCTCCCTCCCTATTAAAAATGAATTTCATAAAGAGTGGTAATTATATATTGAAGAAGTCTAAGATGCGACAAATTGTCATTGCCATATACTCTAATCTTTGTTCCTTTCAAAGTTTTTGAATGGCATATGAAGTTTTTGACCAAATTTTCATCAATGTGCTTCTTGAATTTAGCCAACTTGTTTTGTAATAAGCTATAGATTAGTCAAAATGGTAGTTAAGCTCTTTTTTGAACACTTATTGAAGAATCATAAAGATAATACTTTAGAAGATTATTAACTTTATTTTTTAAAAAACTTCTTGATAATCTCAATATTAGCTTCAAATACTACTTAAAGACTTTCTACTATCAAAAATGAGTGTATCCTATATGACACAAGATGACTCTTCTTAAGTAGCATGCATAAAAGCTCTTGCATCTAGAAATAAGGATTTAGTTGTACTAGATTTAATAATTTTTACTTGATTAAAAATATCATTATTTATACTCTAAAAATAATCAAGACTTCAATAATTTTAATCTACTAAAAGGTTATATTTTTTTAACTACAAAAACTTTCAAATTATTGGATTAAAAAGGGATCTAATTATATTAGATAATACAAAGCTATTATGACTATTTGTTATTACTTCTATACAAATGGCTCTATTGATAACATCTCTAAAAGACAAAGGACAACTATCTATGACTTCTATATGTATTGGTTTAATTTATTTATTTTTTTGATTTTTATCAAAACTATATTATTTCTTTTAAAAATAAAATCAAATTTTAAAAATTATTAAGATAATTATTGAAATAAATATGTATATTTGTGATATTATCCCTCTTCCCTTGTAGAAATAAGTTTCACAAGGAGAGGTGATCACATGTTAAAAAAATCTACGATGTTACAAATTATATTTGCCACATATTGTAATCTTTATTTTCTTCAAAAGTAATAAATAGGCCTTTTCAATTAAGATAGTATCACATATAAGGGTGGGAAGATCATCTTGATATTTAATCATTGTTGAGATTTTTATAACTTTATCCTAACAAAATATTTAAAAAACCATTAGGAGTAGGTTCTACTTCTAATAATATTACCAAACATTTGAAGTTTCTTTTAAGGTTGTAATACCAAATACATTGTCTTTTTCCATTTATTTGAAGACAAGCATGTTCTTTTCGAGGATCTTCACTTCTATTACATTGTCATGAAGGTTGTGTCAATTGTAATGTCTTGTTCGGTAACTCAACAAACAATAGCTCTTACATTGAATCTATGGTTAAATATTTTTTTTTATCTTATTAATACCATAAATACAAAGAAATTATATATCAAGGATAGAAGATAGAATGTAAACTTCGTTAAATCATATTTCTTTTATAGTAAAGAAATATAGAATGTAAACTTCGTTAAATCATTTTATATCTTATTTTTGATAGTTGTTGTCATTGAAAACCTTTAATCTTCTTTGATGCATTTGCAAGATACTTTATTGGCTTCCATATATATTTATTAATATTACATCCATACCAATGTACCAAATATTCCAACACATTTGGACTTACCTTAAGTCTAGGAGTTCTTTAATTTCAGATTCTTGATTGTTGTCCACTTCTATAGAAAGAAGAGATATTTGTCTTTATCTTTATGAATCTTCTATCTTGTACGGCTCAACAAGATAGATATAGAATATAGAATAGATCTTTGTAAACTCTAAAAGATGTAATCAACAAGTAACATGATTGTTTTATTTACAATTAAAAAATGGCCCAAGGCTACGGTAGTTCAACTTGACACAATAGCAACTAGTCTTAATATTATAACAAAATAATCATACCTTGTTGCCAATGTAAAATTGAAGTTGTTCTATGCAATAGGCATTTGCATTGATATTTTGACGCCTTTGAGTTATTTTTAATTGTGCCTTCATTGTTGCATGTAGCTTTGAAAAATAATTTGTCAAACCTTTTGTTAAAGGATTATTAATTTCTTGAGAAGTCAAGAGTATCAAGTTGTCGATGTTAACCGTAATTAGTATAGAAAGGTGATGATTGAGTAAAATAAGGTGTTGAGTTAATACAACAAAATTTTGACAATGGCAAAAGAATTCAATCACCTTAATATTAATTGATGATACATCTTAAAAACTATATATAAACTTGATTCATACTATTATATTATATAAAAACTTGCTTGAGAATGCACCAAACACTTGATTGTGGAAGGTAAAATAGAAATTGCAATAAAAAGATTTTAATAATTCTAATAAAATTATGTACAAATTTCAAATGAAACTTAAAAATTCAAATAAAACCTTAACAAAATTCAATTAAAGTCTTGAGAAATCTATAAAAAAAATACATATAATTATAAATAATTTTATAAAAATCCTAAAAAAATACTAAAAAAATCTTAATCAAATCTTAAATAAATTCTTATTTAGTTCTAAAATAAATTAAAAAAATAATAATTAATAATCTAACTATAAATTTTGGTTCAAAATTTACATATATTTTTAATTATAAAGGTAAAAATTAAATAAATTGAATATAAAATTTACCAAATAAAAGATAAATCCTAAAATCTGCTTAAGTATTGGCTAACTTCTTTTTCCAATCTTGATTCTATTCTTCCAATACCAATATCTCTTAATTTTACTACTCAATGGTTTTAAAACTTTGCACAATTTTTTCAAACTATGGCAATTAATATTTTATAAAATTTTAATTCAATTCAATAAATGGATTGACATAAATCTTAGAAACCTTCATTGATGATCTAACTCTAATTCTTGAGATCCTAATATATTTTCATGAAACTATTAGATCAAGCTCAAACTTATAATATACATTAAGTAAACCATTGATCACAAAATCAAAAATATTTACCTATAGATTATTTATCAATCTTATAAAATTCTCTAAAATAAAAATTCTTTATATTTTTCAAAGCCCAAAGTGATCCTAAAACAATCCTAATTTTATAAAGTCTTTAATAAGTTAATACAAATTCAAATCACTCAAAATTAATAATCAAAGAACTTGTTTCTAGTTTGCTCTTATAACCTACAATTTAAATAACCAAAAAATTCCTAAATTATTGTAAGTGGTTTTTTTTGTACTAATTTTTATTTTGATTCATAGCTACTTTTTTTTGGGTATCAATTTTTAGTTTCTTAAGATAATTTTTATTACAAAATATTCTTATTATTTCTAAAAATTCTTCTATTAATTATTTTTTTTATTTACTTTGATCCATCTCATTTATAATTTTGTAGAGTAAATAGAAGTCTTTTTGTACAAAAGATAACATTAGCACTTATTAATTTTTACTACATTCTTGTCTATTATCTATATTTCTAAGATAATTTGCTAAAATATTTGCATTTAAGCTCTTCTATAAGATATATATATATATATATATATATATATATATGTAATTTTTTCTTTTTTGACCTTATGGATGTATTATAACACAATAATAAGTTTTATTTATCTATCAATTTGAAGATGAAACACCAAAGATAATTTTATTTTTACTTTCAAAATCTTAAAATGAATTTTTCAAAACCTTGATACAAATTATGTTCGTCTATCAAATATAATATCTCTTAGAAATCCATAATAGCAATAAATATTGAAAATTATTTTAGCTATTTCTTTACATGTGATTGATTTTATATATGGTACAAAATGAGCTATTTTAGTGAAACAATCTACTATCACAAATATAGAATTGTAATAACTTGACACAAAGAGATTTTTGATAAATTGCATAGAAATAGAAGATTATTGCTATTCCAGTATTAATTATGATTTTAAATATTTTTAAGACTGATATCAAAGAGTTTTTTCTCTTGAATAAATATTACATGATTATACAAAGTGTTTGACTTTCTTCCATATTTTAGGCCACCAAAATTTTCTTGAGATTAATTCCAATATCTTATTATATCTTAAATATCATGATATTAATTATATTATATTAAATATCATGTAGTTAATATGTGATATAATTGTAAAGTCATGATAAGCTTGAAGAGTACATAGTTGTGCCTTAGCTTCCAAAACATATAAGCATCCATTAAGGATAGAGTATATGATTTTTACTGATATGGTTTTTTTTAAGAATATTATATAAATATATTGTGCACATTATTATTTTTATAATTCATAAAATTTAAAGTATAAAGATACTAAATAAATTAATTTTAATTAAAAAATATTTCAAATATTTAATTATCAAAATCTTAAAATTTGATTTATGAACAGATTTTTAGATTAATTTAATAGTTAATATATGATATTATTTTAATTTTTTAATACAATTTATTAAAATTTATCAAGATCTTAATATAAATAATTTAATTATATTAATAATATTTTTATAAATTATATATTTAATGTATTTAAAATTCAAAGTTTATTTTTATATAAATATTTTTTATAAAATATCTTTAATATTTTTTTTATAAAATTAAATTTTTATTTTAATAATAATTACAAGTCAAAAAATATTTTTATGTGTATATTTGTATTAAAATTTTAAGCTTCTTTTTCTTCTCTTTATAATATTGATACATCAAGTGAAAACATAATGGAACTTTAAATCTTCAAACTTAATTTGATTTGTTGCAATTATTATATCAATAAAAACCATTGTTTTAGTATTTTTCTATTATTTAATTAATTTTAAGCTTAAGTATATTCTTTCAAATATGAATTAATAAATATGAGTCTTATTACAATTAACTTTGAGATAAAAAAATCTTTAAGATTATTCTAAAGCTTTTTTATGCTTCAAGAAGTTGGTCATATGTATTTTAGGCACACACACATACACACACACACACACACATACACATATATATATATATATATATATATACATCTAAAATTATAATATTTAATTTTAAAAATAAGAAGTGTTACTAAGAATATAAAATAAACTAAAATTTTAAGTGTTTTGTAGAAAATTCTAAAGAATTTTGATTATTTTTATAATTATTTCTGTAAATTCTCTAAAATCTCATAAAACCTTTTAATGTCTCTTTAAAGTTTTTAAATATCTATTTTAGACTTCTAAAAGCTTTTAGGATTATTTTCGAGCTATTTTGAAATCATGTGAATTCTTTAAAATTTATAAATTTTTTTAAAAAATTAATTTTAAATTTTAATTAAATTTTAAAATATCTTTTTTTATAATAAAAATAGCCATATTTATAGTTTCTAATTTTTAAAAAGATATTTAATATTTTTAATATATGTTTTAATTTTTTTTAGTATTTCTTTATTTTTAATATCATATTTAAATTTTTTTCTAGTATAACATCTTATACATCTTGAACCTTAGATATTTTTTGAAAAAAATTAGATATTTATTAAAATTTAATTTCAGAATTTAGTTTTTGTGATACTTCGAAATTTTTTTGTTGAGATAATAATGGATTTTGAATTATTGCATCTAAATTTTGGTGACAATGTGAAGAAAAAAATAAGGTATGTTTATTAAATGTTTTAAAAAGATGAAATATTGAAGATTTCAAATTAATATATAAAATAGACCAAGAAGGTTTTTTTTTCTTCTTCTTTTCTTTTTTTTCTCTCTTGTTGTTTTGTTTTGTTTTGTTTTGTTCTGTTTGTTTGTTTGTTTGTTTTTGTTTTGTTTTTTTTTCCAATCCTTTTTTTCTTCTTCTAATTTTCTGAAAAGAAAATACTTCAAAATAAATTACTCTTGTAATATTGGTATGAACTTCAGACAAAGAAATGAATTTAAAGTTTGGTACATGTTTAAAAGTATTTTGGTAATGTTTTGGTTTGGCTAATCCAATTTTAAAAGTTGTTCATGGGTTTCTTTTGGAACTGCAACTTTCAAAAGAAACTATTGAACAACTTTTGAAAGTTGCTAAACCATGAACAATCATGAGTTGTTTAGCATATTACAATAGACGGTGTTCTAAAGAATATGCCTTCAAAGACGGAATCACATTCTATAGGAATCACAGAATACATGGAATCACATTATATTTGGAATTACGTGATAATTGAATTACATAATATTTGGAATTACATGACGTATAGTATCATTTGCAGACAATATTGACTGGAAGACCATACCAAAAATATAAATTCCACCTTCTAGCAAAGTGTATTGCATCTAAGGACGCACTGTTTGGGGTAAGGAATCACATAATATATGGGGCAGTGAATGGATGAAATTGATTGATTACCAAAGCCAAAAATAAAAACTTATACCTTCAAAAGAATTTCATATTGACTAAGTACATACATTATTTTATTAATAACATTTACTCTATGAGTATGTTTTGGAACAGTATGTCAATTGCTTTTTACCGTTCATGTTTTTATTCCCTTTCACGCTACGATTTATTTAATTTTTTTGTATGGATTAGTCCTTTTTGTTGCAACTCCAAAATGAGTTGTTAATGCAGTTTGACTTTATTGTACAGCTTTCATTGAAGTTTTGTATATCGCATTTATTAAATTATCGTCGAAATGTCAAAAGAGAGGCATGAACTGAAAATTTAAAATATTCCAAAAAGTCAGACTTACAGTTCAAATTTTTCAAAATAATTTTATCATTTTTTTACACCCGTTTTTAACACTCCGTATCCCCCTCATGATTTAATCCTTAAAAATTGTCGTTGCAGGATTTTAGAATTGATCACTCCCTAAGAAAAGATGCCAACTTTAGTTTCAAGAAAACCGACACCCACTTCACCGCAACATGTTGTGTTCTTCGATGTTCTCACACACAGCATACTCACCGCATTATTTACTACCCATTTTTCTCCAATCCATTCTCAATTATCAAAACGCCCTGTCACATCCTTGCAAAACTCATGAATTTTTTGTCAAAGGATAGCAAGTACAGACAACATAGTGTCAACAACATAGAGTGGATATGATCGCAAAAAAGTTTCAGTTTATTGATGGAATTTTCACAATATTAATATCAACGCTCTGACTCTAGCACCGACGTTTCTAGCGCCGAAGTGCCTGCGGGGCTTCGAAGTGAGTGAGTGAGTGCGTAGTTAAGAAGCCATTTCTGCAGAGCGTGAGTTCAACGGTCCCCCTGTTGCAATGCCAGGCTAGCAAGCAGGTTTAGCAGTGGGCACCGCGGTAGCTTCAGCGGTGGGCACCGCATCAGGTTCAGGTAGTTTTTGGCCTGCTTTCACGAGATCGGCGAGGAAGCTCTTGTATAGGCCCATCACAGTGGCATGGAATATCTCCGGAGACTGGTTCTCCATCTGAATTGGGTTCACTTCATACCTCCAGTACTCCAGCATAGCCTTCTTGTCCTCCGTTTCTCTGAACTGCACAACACAGGCATCGCGATTTAGGGCCAATATACCCTAGAGTTTTCAGATTCTGCACGTCAGAGCAAGTAACTAACTCATGATGGCGCGTGGGATCGAGCCAGTTCGTGTTCTGTGCTTGAAGCGTGATCAGAGATTGTATCAGTTTAGTGAATAACAAGGAAGGTCGCTGTTTCAGATTTCACCTTAACCCATCCGTTGTAGCCTGTCATTGCGCCTCCGAGGAATGTATGATTCTCGATGTTGAACGACAAAGTGTGTTCATCTTCGTCGATTGTCAATAAGCGCTCTGTGATCCAGAATCCGTCGTCTGGGTAATCATGGAAGCGGACAGCGCCTGGCTTTCTGTTCTCCCCTTCACGCAGCTCAGCAACGATTTTGCCAGAGCGAAATCTATCCCAATGTGACCAGTCCGAGAAGAGATCCCATGCAGCGTATAGAGTGCAATCCAACGGAAACTCGTTGAGGCTGCCGGCCCATTTGCCTTCAGACGTAATATGAGAAGGTTCCAAAGGGTTATCTGTTCGAATTTGACAACCGTGGCAATCAGAAGCACATACAAGCGCAGCAAAATAATAGCGCAATTTTCACCGGCTAGTATCTCCATAGGTAAATTCAACACTAAGAACACGTCGATACGGCCCAAACGAAAGAGAGGGAGGTATTAGCAGTAAGAACTGACCTTTCTGCACGAAAAAAACGTTGACAACAAGAATGATTCTACAAACTTTGTGCATAAGGTGCAACGTTGATAGGATATTGAGCCATGCATCGTCAGAAGTTTAGCAGCTGGAGGAAGGCAACTAACCGGCGACCACTCCTTCCATCGAGGTGCACTTGCTTCGGATTGCGTTGATTTCTCGCTGCAGGTCAGTGAGGAGAAGCCAGAGGTTGGAAATCTACAATTTAAACCACCCTCCAAATATTCAATACGCAAGGGAAAGTATAAACACCGTACTATGAACATCACCAAGCCTATATACTTGAACAGGTAGCGTTGCCTGTCGTCTGCTATCCTGATTGTTCCTTTCACAATAAACGGCTAGTCTTCTGATCCTTCTCCGTTTCGTGGAATCAAAATTGTTCTGAGACTTTTTCCTGTGAAAATTATTCACCTGATTATTTAACTTGACCTGATACACGACGTCGATTCTTTGAAATTGGCTCGATTTTCACCCATTATTTTTGTTTTTGTAAAGGTCAGGCATACAAACTCAATCACCGTTCACTAAATTGTTGTTAGAGTGGAAGTCATGATGCGATGTAAACTCGCGCATCCCACGCTCTGACCTTCCTTTTTCTGTTTTTAATTCCCGGAGCAAGCATGTGACATGTACAAAAAACGTGACTGAATGCTCTGTGCAGAATCGAAGTGCTTTGTGCCCAACTTGCTCTCGACTCACAGATAGAGCTCGTCAGTTCAATACGCCAATAAAAATTCAATTTTGATCCTGAGTAGCTCGAATCCAGCTGTGTATCTACACGAATCCAATAGTCTTTGTGCTGGCGTTTCGCCGTTTCCGAACGACATGCTATAGCAGAGCCTGTGCCTCATTCTCCGGGAAAGCATCGCTACTAAATACAAAAAGCTGACACTCGCTCGTGGACTCCAACAACCACAGCATCATTCACTCATTCTATCACCGTCCATTCTCTTGCCGGATTCATTGAGTCCCATCTTTCAGCTATTCGAAAGCGTCGGTGACAGGACTTGCTCCACGAACATGAAACCCAGCAATGGAGAATGCTCGCCAATGTTTGTCCAATCCACTTCCGAATGGTTGACGTGTGCACACCAAAAGCTTCAATTAGACCCAAAGTTTTCAAGATTAGATGTCAACCAGGCAAATCAGGCTTTTGACTGGGGAGATACGTGATCTATGCTTTTTATATTTATTTTTTAGATAATATACAACTTATTGGAAGAGAATGTAACTATTTTCTGTTTTCTATACTAAATTATTATCACCAAGAAATTCATTTTGATTTTTGATTTTTTTAAATTTATTTTGTGTAGGCTTACCATTAATATAAGCTATAGCTTTTTTTAGATTCTTAAATAAAGATTGTGGTATTTTGACTTATGGTACTATAAATTTAAGGATTTTTATAGAATTAAAGAAAAAAAAAATCTAAATTATAAAATAATTTATTTTAATGGAAATTAATTCAAACATGAAGAGATCGAATTTAGAACTACAGGCCTAACAAAGCATCGTGTGTACTAATAATACATTTTTATGAATCTTTTGAAGTAGAATTTGGTCTTAACAGATGAACTTAAGTACACAATGAAAAAAAAGATTTATTTAGGCTTTAAAAGAGTTTTTTTGTCGTACTATAAACTTTAAAGATTAAAATAGAATATTGAATTATCAAAAAACAGCCGAAAAAATATATGTTACAGAATGTAATTAAAACATGTAAAGAAACATTGAAAAATCATACACAATAAAAAAACAAAAAAACAAAATGGTCAAGTTTTGAGCATGCTCAATAAGATTTCATTATGTTGGTGCTAATTGTGTATCAATTGCATGACTTGCCATTATTTCTCTTCTACTAAATATTTCATAAAATAAAATCCTAAATGTAGTGTCTCCTACTTGAAGCACATTGATTTTAAAATCAAACCAATCTTTCTAATTTTTTTAAATTATGAATTATTTATTTATTTTATAAATAATAATAATACAAAATAATTAATTATATAATAATTTAATACAAGTATTATATATATATATATATATATATATATATATATATATATATGATTTTTTTACTCTATCTTTTATAAGAGAATTAGAATTTTGATCAAACTTAATTAATTATATTGTAAGACTGACCTTACTTAAAATTAACAGAAAATACCAAATATAGAGCTATGCAGAAAAAAAATAAAGATTATTCAAATACAATATTAAATAAATTTTTATAGAAAATTAACACTTGGAGGGTTTTTGTGTTTTTATTTTCACTAAAAAATGCTAAGAAGAGCAATAACTGAAAAAGCTTAAAGATTGAAGAAATTAATCAAACCTTGCAATAGAAAAGAAAGAAGAGAAAATAGAATGAAAAAATAACATATGAACTACACCCATTTCTTATACTATTTAATAAGAAAAAAAATATCATAGTCGTAATTAAAATAAGATTATATATAAACTTGAATTAAGAATTTTTTTAAGTCAAATCTTTAATTTAAGTTATTTAAACGAATATACTTAGAATCATGATAAAGAATAAGCATTGTTGATTACAAGCAAGACTATTTATTCAAAATTAAAAATATTAATTTATTAATATTTATAATTATTAAAAATAATAACAAAAAATTTCAGTTTAATTATTTTAATTATTTATAAAAAATATTACATTAAAATTAACTCATTAAATTTATATTTTTAAAAAATATAACTTGATTAATAAAAAATTATTTTAAAGAAATTTATTGATATTTTTAAATCTTTATTTTTTTTTCAAATTATAAATAAGACCATCTAAAGTAGTTTTTAAACCAATGTTGTGTAAGAATTTTCGGATTTGATTTTTATACTCTCCAATTATAACAAATAATATATATTTCTTTTAAATCTTTTTTTAGTTTTAAAAATAAATATTATATAAAATAAATATATTATATATAATTAATAAATATTATATAAAATATATTTTTTACAAAGAAAAATAAATATTTATTTATTAATAGATAAATACATGTATTATTTCAAATAAAAATTAGTTAATTAATTAGTTATTTTTTATAAGTAATGCATGTATATTTTTTTTAATAGAACACTCAAAGTTCAATAATATTTCTAGAGAATTATTAATATTATATCTTTAATTAATACCTAACACAATTTTAGAGGAATCAAAGGGGGTGCAATTGTTACAAACATACATACTTGCCTATATTAAAAGAATTAGATAGAAGTAGAAGTAAGTAAATTTAATTATATCTTATGCAATATCTTCTTAGAAGCTTTAAAGATGTGGATTTGACTTTATATGTAGTAGATAGTAGATATACCATGAAGAAGATAAATACCACTTATCTCTTTAGAAGTAGATAATCATTAAAAATTTGAGGTCAAAGAAGATTTAGATTCAAGATATTACAAAAATAGGCAAGGATATTATATAAATTTGTACAAATATAATATAAAAGGTTTAATGTTTTTCAATGATGACAATAATCTGAATCAAGATGAAGTATTAAATAATTCTTTGCTATGTCAAGGACATAAATGTCAAAAAACTAAAAGATTAATAAATTCTTGTGTCATTCAAAAAAACTAGTTAATCACTCAAAGATAATATAATATTAAATTAAATTGGCTATTGCCAAAGATAAGAAGACTAGAAAGTTTTGGAACAAGATTAAGGATTAAATAGACATTGAAAAGAATGAAGAAGGCTTTACTCTTGCACCCATATATACTATCTAATTAGGAGCTACATGGTGATGTTGTCATACTAAAAAGTAGCATAATATGTAAAAATAATGTGAAATTTTATGAAAGTTTGAAATATAATTAAAAATAAAATAAAATAGTATAAAAATAAAAAATAAATATAATAAAATGTTTATCTATTTTTTTTAAGTTTTTAGTTTAAGTTTTGTAATTAAAGATAGAAGTTGTAAAATTTATTAGAAAAAAAATTTAGAAAGGCTTTGAAATCAAAAATATAATATTTTGACTTCTAAACCATCTCATATGGATAGATAAGATAAGTGACAGAGGACTTCATTTCTATTGGTTAAAAGTTATGCCCAATGGGCTTTAAGATGCTATCTAGGACCACACTAGAGTTTGACACCACTTTAGGGCAACCTATTTGAGGCAAGGAGATCATTCAAGGAAAGGCAAGGCATTCAAAGTTTGAGATTGGATTCAATTTTATTTGTTTATTTAATTATTTATTTTTTATTTTGGACTAAAATTTCAAAAAATGGATGATTTGAAATTGTAATGAGAAAGTTATGGTTATTTGAAGTTAAGGTGTGATTTTAGTACACAATGTTATTCTTTAAGTATATAGAGAGTTAAAGGAAATTTTTGAAGAATCAAAAAAAGAGACTTGAAAATTGGCTTAAAGAGCTACATTTTATATAATAACATCAATACATTTCTATCTAAAACAAAAGAGAAAGAGATATTGAAAGTTATTGTTAAATATTGGAATTTGTAAGTAAGTTGTTTTTAGTGGAGGTTCTAGTTTTTTCCATATTGAGAGTTTTTGGACGAATTTTCAGCTAAAAATTTCTACAAATATAGATGACTATTTTAAAAATTTATACATGAAAAATTCATGATATTTTAGCATTGAATTTTTGAGATATAAAGGAATTAGTGTGCTAGTGTCTAGAAATTTGACATGTTTAGTACCTACTAGAGATTAGGTAATATCCAAAGACTTCTAATGAATTTATGGTTGAATTTTTATATAGAAGTAGTCTAAAATATAAGTTAAATTGTGGAGAATTTTAAATCCAACCAAAAAATTAGATTGGAAGTTATTAAATGATACATATACAAAAGAAATCTCTATAGGAACAGAAGTGAATTTAGGATATCTAGTCACATCTTGGGTATTCTTGTGTATCCTAGTCTTTTATATTTGTTGTATTTGTCTTCTTGAAGATAAGCAATAAATCATATTTGTATTTTATAATGTTGCAACTTGTTTGAGTGATTAATGGGAGCCAGAGACGAAACACTTTCTTGAGGCAATTCTCTCTACAATAATAACGTTCTATGGGATCTCCAAGACATATTCAATTTACAAGACATGTATCTTAACTTGCAAGGCAAGTTTCTTATATGCATGTTATATTATTAGCTTGTACTATAAGCTATCCACTTGTATTATATATGGCTAATTTGTTGGCCAAGTTTCTAACCTACTAAACAACTATAAATATATATTAAGTCAAATATATATCTATAAAGCTTATAAGAATCATTGCTACAAGATAATATCAAATATATTTAAATTTATTTTTTACCTAATACTTCT